TTCAAGTGGAAATCACGTACTTATTCGGTTGTTCCGACGAACGTTTACACTTGACATCATTGACTTTAAAAAGTTGAATATTTATTTGAAAACTTGTACAACAAAATACCCACTTTTCTTTCATTGAATATCTTTTTTTCTGCACTCAAATCATTTGATTCCCTCGAATGAATACATTAACCTAAATCACCCCTTTCCTCAGCTGCTTACGAAAACTCTATAAAGTTTTTCCTCAAATCTCAACCTTAATATTCATGAGTTCATGATATTCAATGAGCGGTCGTGTTTTCGAGAGATTCCTATCAATTTGTTTCCTCATCAAAGGCGGGATTATTTCAGCTTGTTTTCTCCAAAACTTGCCAGAGTCAAACCGTCAAAGTATCTATAGATATCTTAATTTGTATTCAATTTTTGCTAGAAACAACCAAAAAGAATTAAAATCTCAATTCTCGCAGTTCAAACCCGAGTTAGCAACTTTTGAAACCTAAATTCTAAAATACACCTAAGCTATCGTACTCGAGACGGCGTCTACCTTTTCCCTCTATAAAATGAAGTCGCAACGCTTTGAAATTTATTTTTTTGAAGAATCGGGGTGGGACAAATGCGACCTTTTTTTTGCGCACCTGGACATTTGCACACCTTTTTTCGCTGGAAAAGGCCTTAGGCAAGGCCGTAGAGCTTCGAAAATATTTCCATATAAGGGAATCGTATGCGTAGATTCCGAATTTCGACAAATCACACCTCGCTGACACGTCAAATTTGGGCTAAAAGGCAAAAACTGCGGAAAAGCGTTAAGTTGCGTAGTTTTTGCCTTTTAGCCCAAATTTGACGTGTCAGCGAGGTCTGATTTGTCAAAATTCTGAATCTAAGCATACGATCCCCTTCTATGAAAACGTTTTTGAAGCTCTACGACTTTTCCTAAGGCCTTTTCCAGCAAAAAAAAAGGTGCGCAAATGTCCAAGTGCGCAAAAAAAAGTTCGCATTTGTCCCACCCCCGAAGAATCTACCTTTCCTCTCATAAAAGGAAGCCTCAAAAAGATCTTCTCTTCTAAAAAAATTTCGAACATTTTACCCAAAGATGACACGTTGCTTAGTCTTGCTTTTTCCATAAAAAAGGGAATTTTTAAGAAATTCTCGTTCTCGTTTCCTTTTTCACTTTTCTTTCTTTGTGTTCATTCTTTTGAATAATGATTTTTCCTCTTTCTTCCTCATTTTTTTCAAACTTTGCCCAATAGTTTCAATCCTTTTCCGGCTTTCCTTCTCAATTGCTTTCGCGATTTCGCGATCTGATTGAGTGGGAAAGAGGCTAAAAATATTTTCCTTCAGTAATTGGACTTTCAAGTAGAGAAAAATGGAAATTGAGAAAGAAATTTGCTTTCTTACTATTAGACTAATAGTAAGGTTGAGTGCACCAAAAGGAGTGGGCGAAAGCACTATATCTTGAAAGCACTGTATCTTGAAAGGACTATATCTTGAAAGCACTGTATCCAATATTTTGAGCCCCAAGAACTCTCGAATGTTTTATTTATACCTCTTTTAAGAGTTTCACGTTATTTGTTTTTTTGTACCAGAGTATTTTGTAGTTCCACAAACAGCGTACACAGTTATTTTTTTGCGTCTAGCGGAAATTGGAAAACGTCAATGGATTGCTTTCATTTAAAAATTCGATTTTTTTCAAATGGAACCTTTTTGCTTACTATTCTATGATTTTCGAAGCTTTACTTTAAATTAAAAAACTTTTATTTCAAGTTTTCAAGCAATATTTTCCCAGTTGTTTTCTTAGTGCTCTGAAGCCAAAAAATCCAAAATTGAATATAAAAACTGATTCTTGATAATCTTACGCTTGAAAACAACCAAAAATAAATCCCACAAGTTTTCCTTTTTATTATCTCTTCGTTTCCTATTCAAACTTCAATTTTGGATCATTCGCTTGAGCAAATAAAGCATCTCCATCCGGAATATCATGAAACATTTCATTTTTTCTATTTTTTTTTCTATTTTAAACATATCTCTTCAATCTTTTCAATGTCCAATCCATTCGCTGAATATCTTTTTCTTTCGTTCATTTTTTTGGCAAAAGAAGAAAGTATTTAATTATTTGGGCCTCCGAGCACGGATATGGATTTTCTTTTTTGCTTTTTTTGACCAAACTAAGGGGAGTGGGACAAATGCGACCTTTTTTTTGCGCACCCGGACATTTGCGCACCTTTTTTTCCGCACCTTGCCCATTAGCGCACCTTTTTCGCGTTTTAAAAAAGCTCTAAAAAGTTAATATTAACCAATTTCTATTCCAAATGTCGTTTTTCTAGGTAATTTGAGGGTGTCGAATTCAAATTTTGACATAACAGAGCGTGTGGAAACAAACGGACGGAGTTATACAAAGAGAAAAATCGACAATTTTCTGTAATTTGATCTAGCCGTTTTGTCTTTCAAATTAGTTCCACACGCTCTGTTAATTTGAGGGTGTGGAATTCGAATTTTGACATATCAGAGCTTGTGGAACCAATTTGAAAGACAAAACGGCTAGGTCAAATTACAGAAAATTGTCGATTTTTCTCTTTGTATAACTCCGTCCGTTTGTTTCCACAAGCTCTGTTATGTCAAAATTTGAATTCGACACCCTCAAATTACCTAGAAAAACGACATTTGGAATAGAAATTGGTTAATATTAGCTTTTTAGAGCTTTTTTAAAACGCGAAAAAAGGTGCGCTAATGGGCAAGGTGCGGAAAAAGGTGCGCAAATGTCCGGGTGCGCAAAATAAAGGTCGCATTTGTCCCACTTCCAAACTAAGTCCATTCTTAGAATTATGACCAATTTTACAATTTAAAATTTATAAATAAAAGTTTTGTTTTATAAAAGTATTTAGTATAAAGTGATTTATGAGTCATAAAACATTAATTTTCCCTTTTGTACCCGATAAAAAGCGAATGGTTGGACAGGGAAGTGTTCTTTTTGACTTCTCCTAACGATAAACCTAAATTTATTGATTCCAACAATACAATTTCAAAGTTAAGCTTTTAAAATCACCTTTGTTTTCGATCTGCTACCCATTGCCTACTTTTTTTAGAGTTTGGAAACAATTTTTGAAGCCTCAAATCGATTCTTTGTTTCAAAAAGATCAAGATCATCGATTGCAAAATGAAATTTTTTTTCTTGTACTTTTAAGATTATCAACTTTTCGGTACTAGCCTAATTGGGGAGGAGCACGATTTTTTTCTTCAAAACCACTTTTTCTCGGGTAGTCTTATGCGTAGATTCCAAAAAAGACAACGAGAGCTCCGGAAAATGCGTTTTAAGCCAAGTTTCGGGGCTTCAAAGTGCGCGCTTCTATAATGTACTTCACTATATGGAGCCCAAGCTATCGACTATTGGGGCACTTTTCAAGGTCAAAACTAGAGCCAAAACCATTTTTAACCACTACAATAATCATTTTCTAACTTAAATTGACTGGTAGAAGCAAAAAAAATTGAAAAAATATTTTTTGGGATTTTGACTCATCGAAATGGGGTCGAAATTTGGAAAAAAAAAAAAAATTTATTTTGCTCCAATTTGATCATAAACGTAGTCATTAGATTAAATTATGCCAGAAGAAGTGTTTTTGGCTTCAAAAATGTTTTGAAATCATTTTTAGACCTTTTCCCTATGTGTATCCCTCTGAACGCGCACCCTGAAGCCACGAAACTCGAAAGCTTAAAACGCCTTTTCCCAAGCTCTTGTTGTGTTTTTCAGAATCTACGCATAAAACTACTCCAGAAAAAGTGGTTTTGAAGAAAAATAATTGGAAAAGAATGTTTTTTCAAAATTTTGCTCCAATTTGATTAGAAACATAATCAGTAGGTTAATTTAACCTTAGGCTCAGGTTTAATGCCAGAAGAAGTGTTCTTGGCTTTAAAAAATGTTTTGACAGACCATTTTTAGACCTCTTCCCTATGTGTATCCCTCTCATCACACTTTATAAGCACGCACTTTGCAGCCTCGAAACTCGACTTAAAACACCTTTTCCCAAGCTCTCTTTATGTTTTTCGGAATCTACGCATCTAAACTACCCTAGAAAAAGTGATTTTGGGAAAAAAATCGTGCTCCTCCCCCCAAATGCCTTAGTACCAACTTTTCTTTTCACTTCAAGACATCAAAGCTTGATTTTATCAAAATTTCCCTTTTTCAGACATCACCTGTTTTCCATCAATCGAATTCCCCTTTCCATTGTTTACCCCGTACTTCATGTGAGCACAAAAAAAAGTCGTTTTTCTTTCTATTTTTCATCGAATTTCGTGAAATTTCAAATTATTGACAAATCGATTTCCCCTCCCGATTTCCCATTCAATACTGAACAAAACAAATCGGGAGGGTCAACGAAAAATGACGACAAATATCTTTGATCTCGTTGAAAAAGAGGGGAAAGCTCGGAACAGTTGGTCACATTTACGATGAGATCCTTCTCGATTTCGAGTTTGATATTGACCTACACCATCGATTGTCTGCCCTTGTCAGATCATTCCCGTTTGAATGTTCATGCTCATTTATTTTTGTTTAAATATTTTAGCTTTTGTTCAGCTTTATTTTCTCGTATTATCTCGATGAAAGTTTAAAAGAAATTTTTACAAATGGCATTCCCGAGTAAACTTGTATTCCAGATTACGGCCTTAAAAAGAAGTGTTAGATATTTATCTATTGTTATTGTTATTGCTATTGTTGTATTGTATTTTATTGCAAGCTATCGTTAAGGTTTGATTTGTTGAAACTCGAAGATTTGAAGATTCTGAATTGTTGGACAAAATCGGATAATGAAACTTTTGAAAATGTCAAAAATAGAAAGAAACGCTTGTCATTGTATATTTGTTAAAATTTCTTGATTTTTAAATCCAGTGATTGATTTTTAAATCCAGGGTTATTCTTTAGGCGTTTTGCCATTTCTACTATAAATTTCGAAATCGATTTTGTCTAATTTCTCTAATTTTTAACAATTTACAAATCTCACCGCATTTTTAGATCGATTTTGATGGAAATCGCTACAATTGTAGCGAAAAATGAAAGCGATCGCCTCTTCTCGAATTTCTCTTTCTACAGCAATCAGACAATCTACATAAATGGATATGTTCAGGTATTTAAAAAAATGATTATAAGAATCGGAAGGTATTTGGGTATTCAGGTATTCAGATATTCAGATATTCAGGTATTTAAAAAGAATGTTTATAAGAATCTAAAGGTTTTCTCAATTTTTTCAGCAAGAGCGAACGATTCTCGAGCTCATTTATTACTTGTACATGCCATTTTGTGTGATTATCGGCTTAACGGGAAATTGTATGGTATGGGTGCTGATCAGGTTGGCAATTTTAAAAGAGAATTTCTGAAAAAACGAAATTATAGCAAAAATTTTGCAAATCTGCAAATAAGGGAAAACAAATTTTAACAAAAAATAACCCTCTTTTTCATAGGAGAGACAAAAAAAAGGATTATTTTCTTGAATGAGTGCAGATTTCTGACACAGAAATTACAAGACATCAGTAAGAAAGGAATAAAAAGCTTTCGGGGTAGGCTACTTTGCGCATTTGGGTCATTTGCGCATCAACAGGGTCATTTGCGCAACTCGGTCGTTTGCGCAACTCGCCATAACTTTCTTCTAAGTGGGCCAATCTTTATGATTTTGGTTTCATTTTATTGCACTTCTTGAGATCTACAAAATGAAAACAACATCGTAAAGATTGGTCCACTTAGAAAAAAGTTATGGCGAGTTGCGCAAAGAAAAATTGCGGAAATTAGCCTACCCCAAGCTTTCAAATGAATTAAAACAATTTCAGCTGTACTTGTAAATCTTTCTTTTCTAAAAAAGTGTCAAACTACCGTAATCTCGCAGTTCATTAGTTATTTTCATTTTTCAAAGTCAAAATCAAGTGTAACTCATTGCTTTTATTTCTCTTTTTTTTTACAAATAGGCTTTGATATTAGTCTTTAGATAGGATAACATATATAGAAAATGAGTAACAACTCAATGAATAGGGTAAAATCTTTTTGAAAGTCGACTTTTCACTCTGGATCTGACTTCTGGCTAAACTTTAGTCTTGTCTTGCTTGCTGAAATAGCATAAGAGTTGAATAAAAAATGCCAGGCGTCAGAGTCACAAGTACAAAAGAATTGATTGAACTTGAAAAGCAAGCAACCCATTCATTCCAGAAGCAATCGAATCCTCTCGAAACTGCCAACAAACATGTATTTGTTATGTTTGGCCGCAATGTCATCTGTTTTCCTCATTTCGCTCTTCATTTTTTGGTTGGATGAGGTCACCTATTACTATTTTGACGTATGCTCTTTTCATCAGTATTCGTGTTGCATGTTGTTTGTTTGTGAACGGGGGAATAATCAGACCTGACGGCGGGATCTTGACCTGGAAATCAAGAAAAAACGCTCACCGTAATACCTGTAAGCCTTTAAAGCCCCTAAAGGCGGCCCATTTAAAGTGTCACCGTGGCCGAGTGGGTAGAAATAAGAAAACGGTGATTTTCTGAAACCCTGGTTCGATCCCTGATTTGTGCAAAAGTTTTTGGTCTTTCTTGTTTTGTTTATTTGAGATGAAGAGAGAATGTTTAATAAAGATGGAGGATTGAACCAGGGTTACAAAGAACCACCAAAGCTAAGCATTGCACTAGCTCTAAGTCAGAGCCTATCAATCGAGGCCATTGAAGCCTACCAATCGTATTTTTGAAAAATCGAAGAATGAAAAAATCGTATTTACCAATCGTATTTTTGAAAATCGAAGAATGAAGATAGCGTTAAAATAGATCAACTTTTTAGGCAATTAAATATAACAATTGGAAAGTTCTAATTAGAGTTGTTTAAAACGAAAAATTTCAAGACAAGCCGTCTTCCCATCTTTTGATTATCAATTCAAAAGTTGTTGTTGTTGTTTCAAATGATTTCTAAATCGCTTAAAATCAATAAATCACCTAGAAACCTAAAACTAATCACTGTTTTGTCAATTTTGTCATTACAACTTTCAAAAAAATGCATAGAAATACCCAAAAAAAACTTACAACGATTACTAGACCTTCAAATGAAGGTAAAAGATCAAATGATCAAAGAAACGTTGTTGTGTAATGAACCCTTCTATAACTTATATCGATTACTAGACCTTCAAATGAAGGTAAAAATGACCGAACTTTGTTGTGGAACGAACCCTTCTATAACTTATAACGATTACTAGATCTCAAATAAAGGTAAAAGATCAAATGATCAAAGAAACTTTGTTGTGGAATGAACCCTTCTATAACTTATTACTAGATCTTCAAATAAAGGTAAAAGATCAAATGATCAAAGAAAAGTTGTTGTGGAATGAACCCTTCTCAGAATGCGGTGAACTATCAAACACACAAAAAAACCTTTGAGAAAATGAAAACACATGTCCTCTGGCACACTTGATAGCACAAACTCATAAATGAATTCTATTTTGGTGGTAAACTATTGAATGAGCATGGGAAATGAATCCGAAGCTTTTCCTTTAGAATGAACATGTTTACGTTGTGCTCAAAAAGGAAACACACCCTTTCTAGTGCACTGAATTCTTTATTTTTCTTTAGACAATAACTATTTGATGAATTCAGTGCACCAGAAAGGGTGCATTTCGATTTCTGAGTACAAAGTACAAGAGTCACTTTTAATTAGACTCCATCGAAAGCTAACAAACATTGAAATTGGGAGCTGACCCCTGTCGCTGTCTTCAAAATTTTCCATCTTTTACATCGAAATTCTTTTCCAGGACATCGTTCAAACACCGCTCTTCAAAAACACGAAATTCAGCTGTAAAATCGTGACATTTATCGCGCATTACTGTGACTTTTGCTCGGTTTGGTTGATCGTTTTGGTCGGATTCGAACGGCTGATACTTTTACATCGACGATGCCGATCGTTGAGTATTGAAAGGTATGGGGAAATGTGGAAAATTTGATTGAACTTTTTGCAAACATAAATAAAAGTTAATTAACAAGGAAATTTTAAAATAAAAAACAGGCAAATAGATTTCCATAATTGAGTGCAGATTTAAAAGCTTTATAGATAAAATTCAACTTTAGAGAGTAAACTTTTGTTTAAAAAAAATCTTTATTTGATAAGAATGAAGAATAAAATGAAATTTAAAGCGATCATCGAGTACATTTCAGACTTTTAGAAGACTTTTCTTTAAACTTTTAACATTTTTAAACGATTTTGAATAGGCCTGCCTCAAGTGATTCTATTTCTAGTGAATGAACTCACTAGAACTTGTCTAGTGTCACTTAGGCCCACAGCAAACACTGTGCCTCAAGGATGGACCAGATAGAATAATCCATTGACTTTAGATCCGATCTGCTGGGGTCAGATTCAGAAAAAGAGATGAAAACAAGGAATTTCTTGTCTTTGTGGGCCTTTCTTGTTGGAATGTCTAAATATGATTTTTGAAATCCTTTTATATTCAGTGCAAAATTTCAGGAGATCGAAATAGTTAATAATAAAAAGATAATAAGCTATTGTACCTAAAAATTATCCCTATTCTTGATGCCAAACTCGAATCTTTAGAGCCAAAGCGCAAATCCTCGTTTTAATGGGCACAATGTTCATCTGTAACTCGTGGATTCTCTATGTGGCCGATGTTCGGAAAGATACTTGTGATATCGAAGATGGATACGAGTATATCTACGATTTATTTACTTATTTTGAGGTATTAACATTATAAAAAGCTCATTTTCATATTCAATTTCTGGTACTTTTCCAATATCGGGAGAGCGGAAGGATTATCGGGGGAGCGAAATGAAAATCAGGAAAAATCAGGAAGAAAAAAAATCAGGAGCAAATTTTGCCCCCACGAAAAATGCATTTCCCGGAGTGTATTTTAACTGCAACGTTTTTTTTAAAAACTTTAACGACGATGCGCTTCTCCGACATTTGTGCGTTTAAGGAATCGACGGCAATCCATTATTTCGTTACCAAAGGAGTCGTGTCACCAGTCCACGACTGGATAGTCGTGGATTTGCAACTGTGGCGAATTGATGAAAGTCCGCTCAAAGGGAAAAGATCGATTTCGCTGGGTATTTTAAGTCACTTTTGTGATCCAATATAAAGGTTATGAGAATAACGGGTAATTCGCGGATTTTATGGTGGTAATTTTGATAATATAGGACATACATATGTAGCGCTGGCAAAATTTGCTCCCCTGATTTTCATTTCGCTCTCCCGATATTGGAAAAGTACCCAATTTCTTTATTTCTTTAGGCCGTTTTCTGCATGGCTCTTCCAAGTTTCATCATCATCATTTCAAATGTTCTGGTGGTACTCAAGTTGAGAACGCATTTAAAAGTCGGTGAATTGTGAATTGATTGTGGAAGGCAGAAGAAAGTAGTTCTGCTGTTTTTCTTTACTTTCTTTACTTTTCAGCATAAAGTACACCCAAGTTGTCTACCCAAAAATTGCAAAACTTTCAGAGAATCCCCTCCTCGCCGACGGTTTCATTTCACACCGGTGATGTCATGTCAACGTCAAGCACTGCTATCAAATCGTACACAAGGTAGACGAATTGAAGATTTACATTTACGGAACTCTAGACTTATCCCCCAAATACTTTAGAGTCTCCCGGCTGAGCACCAAGTTTTCAATCGATGCCGATAAACCGAAAAAGAAAGAGAAATCGCTGAGGTACTGCTTTTAATTGAGAAATCAATATCTACAGTCATGGACAAAAGTCTCTTAACGTTGATTTTTAGAAGTTTGTTCTTTGTATATCTTGGTCCAAATCCGGCCAATTTGCAAACGGTTAAAAGATTTAAAGAACTTATCTCTAATTTTAACATTACAAAAAGATGGATTTAACAATTTATCAGGTTTTTAAACGTTTAACCTTTTAACTATATCTTGACCCAAATCCGACCAATTTGCAAATGGTTAAAAGGTTAAACGGTTAAACACCTGATAAATTGTTAAATCCATCTTTTTGTAATGTTAAAATTAGAGATAATAAGCTCTTATCTCTTTCTTTTCTTACCGTTTGCAAATTGGTCGGATTTGGACCAAGATATACAAAGAACAAACTTCGAAAAACCAACGTTAAAAGACTTTTGTCCATGACTGTACTATTGATTCAATGCAAGTCCAATCCAATGACTATTAAGTACCTTTACCTTTACTTTAAAGTGACCAAACCCTGAACTGCTTTACATAAATCTTTGAAGTACCACTTTAGACAAAAAAAATCCTAGAAAATCTATGCAACGAGGTAGGGAGCCAACCAAAAGACTGTAAAACATTGACTAAACTTTGCAGATACACCGATCTGCAACTCACCCGGTCACTCTTGGTCGTCACTTGGGCTTTCATCATTCTAAATTTGCCTAATTACCTCTATCGAATTATCACCCTTCTATGGGATTTCGAAAACACATCACAGACTGTGGTCAGCTTTTCGAATTGATTCAGAAATTTTTGTTTTAACTGACTTTTAAAGTTTTATGTTAAGTTTTATGTTAAGTTTTATGCTTTTCTTTCAGAAAGAGGTGCTGCTCTACTCAAAACTTTGCGCTCACATGTTTCTCTACACTCATCACGGTTTCCTTTTCTATCTCTACATCTTCTACTCACCACAGGTAGGGATGCTGAAAATCGAGCAGAATCTAGAGTGACGAATTCAGACTAGACACGGGGGAATTCCAAGCCGCACCTAATTCCACCATCGTTTTCTCGGCTGTTTTTTATTGTTTTATTTTTTCTTTGTTTATCGCAGCCTCAATCCATAAAAGACCAATTCCAGGTTCATATGCAATCTAGAAATAGCAGGGATCTGACCGATTACTCTGAAATTTTGTCTACAAGATGAAAAGATCGATTTCTATCTGTAGACAAAATTTCAGAGCAATCGGCGAAGAATAGGTCAAGAAAAAGTGGAATTAGGATTCGGCTTGGAATTTTCCCATATCTAATCCAGACTAGAGTTACACAAGTCTTCATCTACTCGGGACAATGGAATTTTATCACTAGGTTCTAGGCAAATTGAGCTTAAGATTGCGTGTGAGTGAGATCGCAGCAATTTATGGACTAAGTTAAGCTGATTTTAGATGAAACGCCGCTTGAAACCGACAGCTCTCAAGCTGCTCGAGTGTTATTGTTTAAAACCGCACGGTGAATACTCGGAACACACTTGAATTTTCCTTCATTCAAAACGATTCTCAACCTTGTAAACTGGTATCTTTTTTTTTGTTCGCAATTCGGGTTCTCTTTTTCCATTCTCTTTTCAAATGTGATCATATTATATATATATGCTTTATTCAGTTGAATAGCGACAAAGAAAATCACAATAATTACCCGGGACACCACTCGAAACACACCCAAAAGATAAATAGATACCTCAAGAAAGAATCACAGAGCAGTCAAATCAATTGCCGAAATTTGAATCTAGCCAAGGTGGGAATATCACGAACACGAAGGGGTAAAATGTTCCAGAATTTAATAACTCGATCAAAAAAAAACTGTGGCGCTTTTAGAGGAAACGGAAGGTTGGCGTATGAGAAAAGGCCTCCTTCTGGCCTCTTTCTGGCCTCTAGAAGCCCCGTAGAGAGCCGAATTCAAAGAGACAAGAAAAAAAGCCAACCTTTGAATGCCAACCTTCCAAGCTGAATGCCAAATATTACAAATAAATTGATTTTTATTTCACCAACTTTGTCGATAAATTTCAAAATACATTTTTGTTTGTATGTGTGGCTCGATTCGGTTAATCTTTACAATTTTCTCTAAAGAAGTAAAATGGAAAAGAAAATCGAGGTTTCGTTTGAATTTGATCAACCATTCTTCGACAGTGTGGAGAGCGAGGAGGAGAAACATGATTGGATACCTGAATGCACATTCGAATGTACTAGATTTAATAGATTTAGTCCCGAGTTATTCTATCCTACTAAGGAGCCGGTCTAGTACTGAACCAAAATGCTAGTTAGTTAGACCAAGATTAGTTAGACCTGATCTTGTAGCATAGAGCACAAAAGCTAAGCACAAAAGCCAAGCACCAAAGCCAAGCACCAAAGCCAAGCACCAAAGCTAAGCCCCAAAGCTAAGCCCCAAAGCTAAGCACCAAAGCTAAGCCCCAAAGCTAATCACCAAAGCTAAGCATTGCACTAACTTCAAGTCAAATCATTGAAGCCTATTTATTACCAAGCAAGCATCAGCTCAATCATCGCCATCAGAATCTGCGCTCCAGGAGCTTCGGAGTCGAAAAAGGTGAATGTGATTACAATGAAAGTGCCATAATAAACATTGACAATTGTCGAGACGGATAACATTCGGTGAAGAAGCTGAAATCTTTGTTTAGTAAATTTGTTTAGTAAACCTTTTTCATTTGAATTCTTTCTATTAAAATTTGCTTCTGAGATTAGTTTTTTCAAGCTTTAACACATCTTTTGCCAAACAATGAACAAGGATCAAAATGAATTCGATTCGATTTGAAATAAGGATCAAAATGAATAACAAAATCCCAGAAATTTGGTCAGAATTTCCGTTAGAGTTGTTTTGAGGTTTCAAAAATTTAGAAAAGCCATTAGAAAAGCGTATTCTAATGGCCATTAGAAAGCGTATTCTAATTCTTTTCTAATGGCCATTAGAAAAGCCATTAGAAAACATTAGAAAAGCGCGATGTTTTTTAAAACCCTTTTAAAATACCCAAAATTTCCTTTACAAAACGCTTAGAAAACTCAAAAAGCACTCATTTTTCAAAACTTCATTGAGCTCTAACAAGTTAATATTTATAGCTATTCTATTAAAGTATTTGAAACTATTTTTTGCCAAACGTTCTCGCTTGAAGTTGAACCAACAATCCCCTAATGAAGCAGATTGGCCTCATGCGCCTTAGATCACTCGGCCATGGAAAGTAACAACGGATTTTTCTGCCTTTTACGTAAAATCACACAACTACCTAATAAAACTAACGTCGGATTCGGAAAGAGGACCCAAAATTAAAGGCTCTTGCAAATTTTGAGCTTATTTGATCAAGCCATTCACGAGAAACTCAGCATTGAGTCACACGGTCAGCTATTTGTTTAAAACTATTCGCCATTAAGCTTTTTTTAACAAATTCTTGTCAGCAAATTTGTTCGCAAAATGAAATCACTTTTTTAGAACGTTTTTGTGAAGATAAATTCAGCGCTATATCTACAATTAGAGCGTTCACCTGTCCCAAAAAAAAGATTCAACTGTAAGTGGGTGGTAGAGTCGATCTGGCACTGACTCACAATCAAAGCAAAAGTCAGAGCAAAATTGTAGTACTTACCGTAAATACTGTAATAGTACCCCACCCCCCTCGTACAGTCGCGTAGTCGCAAAAGTTTTTTAGTATTTCATTTTTTTCAAAGCGCCCGTACTTTCAAAAAATGCGTTTTTGGTATCAAAAAATAGCTGAAATTCAGGGCTATTTTTTGATACCTAAGCCCGCATTGTAGCATAAACCAGTGTCGAGAAAAACTAGTTCAAATATAGACTACGCAACACTCCGCAGCGTCATTATGGGGGTGGGGTACTATTACAGTATTTACGGTAGCTAAGAAAATGCTTACATCCAGGGCTCTCAAGTTCTCTTTGAGTTGAAATCTCGTCGCTAGTGTGTACTGTCGTCCCTCGAGTGGATGCTCGGAGATTTGCGCGACGATTTGCTGATTGTACTTCTTCAGGAGTTGATGAGCCTAAATCATTGCCTGTTTTAGCAATAATCTTAAGAAACTTACAAGATGATGAGTGATATGAGCAATCATATAACACGGAGTTACTATGTAAAGAGTTGTCGTCCTTTCCATAGCTATTCCTAAAGTTCAACGTTGTTCTTGTCTTCATTTTTTTTTACGCTTACCAATTAAAATCACAAACGGGCAAATTGAGCAAAAGAGCATGAGAAATAAAATGATTCCGAAAAAGATATATGTTCGTTTTTCTTTCTCGTAGTCTTGCACAAATAGTGTAGCGAAGCAGCTAAAGTTGAGAATTTGGGAAAATAAATGAATAACTGGAAATCTAACTTTAAAACTGTATTAACAGTTGATAAACTTTTTGAGTTTAGCACCAGAATAAGGTATAAAGGCGGTACTGAAACAAAATGCTACCAGATTAGTTAGACCTGACTCTGGCCTGATCTTGTAGCATAGAGCACAAAAGCTAAGCATTGCACTAACTCTAAGTCAAATCATTGAAGCCCATTTCCCAGCCTATCCCTCGTGGCAATGCGCGGACGAGTTTAGGTCTAGCTCATTGGTAAAGCTTGGTAAAGTTGGGCCAGTAAGCCAACCTCTCGTTCCCGGCGCGAGTCCGTGTCCCGGCACTGACCCGGCGCTATCTATTGATTCTGTTTTGTTTTATTTTTTTCTTTGTTTATAGCAGCCTCAATCCATAAAAGACCAATTCCAGGTTCATATGTAATCTAGAAATAGCAGAGATCTAATAGGTTGATGCATAAGTCTTTTCGTTTTTTTCGTACTTCTGTTAAAAAGTAACAAATTCACCAATTAATCTATAGTTTGCTCTATAAAAAAAGTGTTTTTTTGTTCAATTTGCATCTTTTTAAATGAATTTCGGTTCACTTTCAAGCAAATTCGAGAGTGAAAAACGCCTTTTTCGTAAAAATCTATAAAAAACTCTACGGAAAAATTGGCTGAATGAATTTCTCTGAAATTTTGGCGAAATATCAAACGTTTTTTTTCTCTATCTTTTATCTATTGACACGAAGATAGGTTTTCTTTAGCTAAGGTGTCTAAACCGCATCATCGAGTTAGCCCTTTTTGACTACCCGACTTCATACTCTCAAGAAAATCCAGGCATTAAATATTTTTAAACCCGTTTTAATGTTATTTTGCAGAAAAATAATTGATTTTTCTAATGAAATCAACCGTAGTTTAATTCGTGCATTTGTTGGCTTGAAACGGCAGACGAAAAGGAACAAAAACACTTATGCATCAACCTAATAGTACCAAGTTGAAGCTGATACAGATATTCTAAGTACTGGGCCAAGTAGCTCAGGACAAGGCAGAAATGATCTTGGGCCAAGGCTAGTATTAGAGTAAATTGTTTAATTGGAAATGATAGCAGTGCCTCTTTCGTTCGAATTCGAATCAAAGGCTTGTGCTAACAAACCGTTCCAGAAAGATCGGGAAAATGGCGATCACAGTGAACGATACAGCGTACATTCGAATCGTGCAAAAGACTAATAACATTGTGGCACTATTCGGCACATCTGAACAATTGTTTAATCTCTTTTCAAGGTATGATTACTACCTGTAAACTCAAAAATCTCATACTGATAGAGCAGCAAAAAAAATCGACTGACACCTTGAGCGAGAAAATGGAAAGCATTTAGGGAAAAGATCATCATTAGATTTTGATGGAAAACGGCAGAATTGAAAAGAATACGCAAGAAAAATGGATAAGTGATGAAAAGGAGGAGTATGGGGAAACATTCAATCAAAGTGATCCCGCGAATGATCCACTCGAAAAGAGGGAATGCTCTGGAAAATTGGTCTCATTCTTTGAGTCTGATTGGTCTGATTCTATAAGACTACAGTACTTTTTTTTGAAAGAAAATGGAATAGAGAAGACAAGGCGATGCTATTGGAAAAACTTGGTAAGCTTCTACAAAGTACAACTCAAATAATCACTTTCGTTTTGGGAAAGCTAGCTTGACTCACAAGATAAAGTTTCACTAACAGCTTACCTTGATACTCGTTCCATTCACCAACAACGTCAAATAGATTTGAATCGACCCACTTGGGCCAAAAGTGTAAATCATCGTTTTTGAAAGGAAATGGTAAATGAGAAGAGAAAAATGTACGAATACGTTGAGGCGTTTTTCTTCACCTCTTCACTCTCAGGTACATTTGATTAAACACCCAAAAAATCACCTGTTTTCCCCCAAATCGCGTTGCCTGTATTCCCCTTTTTTTTGTAAAATTCTGCATGAACACGGGAAATTGGCTATAAAAGTTAATCAGTAATTGAAAATTTGAAAAAAATAATACAGAAAGAAATGAAATGAAAAAAGGAAAAATTGTAGGAGAAAAGTTTTGTAGGTTGCAAACTGGCTTACGAATGGGAATGACCCAAACTTGATCATAATTCATTTCTCCTATGCGGGAACAATTTTTCTAATGTACAAATGTAAATATCGTATGTTTTATAAGTAGTATTAGGTTGGCAACTTAATAATGACGCGTCACTACTTAACATGTTTTTTGTGATTTCAAGCGCCGTTTCTTCCCTCTTTTTTTTGCATATATACAAAGTAAAAGATGTCTGCATAAATAACATTTGGTGCTCCAAATTTCATCATTCGCTTTTTGGCAAAAAATGGAGAACAAAAAATTCCGTATTCGAGCTGCATTGTTCTACGATTTTAAACAAGGAAAATCACCAGCTGAATCTCATCGCACGATCATCACTGTTTTTGGAGAAGAAAGTGTACACATTCGTCAATGTCAACGATGGTTTCAACGATTCCAAGGCGGCGATGAAAGCCTCGTAGACGAGCCACACCAAGGATGACGATGACTTGCTCGCCTTAATTGACAATTGCCCAACACTCACTGTTCGTGAGTTGGCAGAAATATTTGAAGTATCCCATACGACAATCGAAAACTATTTACACAAACTTGGGAAAAAGAATCGAGTTGGAAAATGGGTTCCTCACGAACTGATCCAAAGCGACAAAATGTCAATGTCGCCTCAATTTTGCTACAAAAATGTAAATCAAACGACTTTTTTCATAGGGTTTTGACTTCTGACGAAACGTGGATCAACTACGAGAACGTTAAACGCAAAAATCAATGGCTATCTACTGGGCAGCCCCCGCAAACCACTCCCAAACCGGATATCCATGGGAAGAAGATAATGCTCTGTTGCTTGTGGAACTTCAAGGAATTGGTCCCTTATGAAGTGCTGAAACCTGGCCAAACTTTGTGTTTGTGCCAACGACGGGATATCTAAAGTTTATGAATATTTTTTGTATTGGGTTGTCCAGTTATGAATGCGCGTTTTACTATTTTGTAAATTTCTCAAGATATCGAACAGATGTATATGAGTGTTATATATCATTCGAAAGCTGAAGATCTCCTCTACATTTTGATATAAAAACCTTTGGAATTTGTTCAGCTTTTGGGCAAATTGGCTGCACAAAGGGAGAAGTCGTTTTCGAAAAAACCCATTTCAGTTTAGCTATTCCTCAAGTTTTATGGTGTAAAATAACCACCCAGAAAAGAAAAGGTGCTCTGAAATTCTTATATTTAAAAAAGTTGGATTGATATATCTATTTGCCAAACATCAAACGGTTAACTCAATTTGAGCGGAGCCAAAATTTGATCCAAAGGCACCCTTCCATTTTTTGGCCACCTCTTCTTCTGTGCAGTCAATTTGCCCAAAAGCTGAACAAATTCAAAAACTCTTTATATCAAAATGTAGAGGAGATCTTCAGCTTTCGAATAATACTCATATATTAGGTTGATGCATAAGTGTTTTTGTTCCTTTTCGTCTGCCGTTTCAAGCCAACAAATGCACGAATTAAACTACGGTTGATTTCATTAGAAAAAGCAATTATTTTTCTGCAAAATAACATTAAAACGGGTTTAAAAATATTGAATGCCTGGATTTTCTTGAGAGTATGAAGTCGGGTAGTCAAAAAGGGCTAACTCGATGATGCGGTTTAGACACCTTAGCTAAAGAAAACCTATCTTCGTGTCAATAGATAAAAGATAGAGAAAAAAAACGTTTGATATTTCGCCAAAATTTCAGAGAAATTCATTCAGCCAATTTTTCCGTAGAGTTTTTTATAGATTTTTACGAAAAAGGCGTTTTTCACTCTCGAATTTGCTTGAAAGTGAACCGAAATTCATTTAAAAAGATGCAAATTGAACAAAAAAACACTTTTTTTATAGAGCAAACTATAGATTAATTGGTGAATTTGTTACTTTTTAACAGAAGTACGAAAAAAGCGAAAAGACTTATGCATCAACCTATTATATAACTTTTTCTTGATTTTGGTATCTTGAGAAATTTACAAAATAGTAAAAAACGCGCATTCATAACTGGACAACCCATTTCAACTAGAGTGTGCTCCTTGTTGACAGACAATTTGTCAGACAAATTTTCATTGACAACTTTTTTGTCAGACAATTGATCCGACAAACTTCCGACAACGCGTTTTCTAAAAGGTGCGCTTTTTAAGCAAAGCTATAAAGGTCGCGCGAAAAAAAATTTGCAAACTTTTCTTAAAATGTAGTAATGGATAGTTTTATTTAAGGGTTTAGTTTTTTTAGGGCGTGGAATTTTTTTGGAATGGTTCTAGTGCAAATGTAGACAATAGGCCTGGTAAATTCGTAAATAATATAATTTTTTGATAGTGTTTCTTAACTTTTCCCGTTTTAAATGTTTTCTTTAATTTTAAATAGCATTTTAAAATTTTCAAGTTTTAGCGAAAGAGTAATAGAGCTAAGGAAAGAGCAATAGAGCTAAGGAAAGAGTAATAGAGTTAAGGAAAGAGTAATAGAGTTAAGGAAAGAGTAATAGAGTTAAGGAAAGAGTAATAGAAAAAAAGAGCGCAAGATTTTAATGTACATTTGCATTTTGAAAAATTTGCGGATGCAAAGCATAGGGTTACGGTAGCTTATCCTTGGCGCGCGCTTTTTAGAAAACGCGTTGTCTGCAAGGAACACACTCTAATTTCAACTGCAGGTGTACTTTTACTCAAACCCACAATCCAATCAACATATCAAGAAATGAGAAAAGAATTTGGGCTATCGGTGAAGATTCGTTGAAAAACCCGTAAGCAATTGTGATAAAAAGACCAATAAACGAGTTGAATAATGTGGCGCTTAACAGCAATCGGCGAAGAATCTACAGAAAATTTGAGTAAAGAGCTTTAATAGGAGTTAATAGAAGAAATAGAAGTTTTTTTATAAAAACAAACCTCTAGCCCACGCAGATTCTCATTCAGCTGATATTTTGTTGCTAATGAATATCTTTTCCCTTTAAATGGATCTCTCGAAATCTCAGTGATCACTCGTTTATTGTACTTCCGAAGATAGTAGAGCATCTGAATTGAACTGAAATTGAACTGAAATTGAACAACACAAAAGAACTCTGAAAGAACCATTAACACTTTAACTTTAAAACCATTAACACTTTAAAATTTCAACTTTCTATTTACCATTGTCAAATAAATTTGCGTAGCCGCATAGAGTGGAGCTCCAATACAAAGTGTAATCACAATGTCATAAGCAGCGCCTGTAAATGAATTTTTCTAACATTGCTTTTTCTAACACAGATTTTTCTTTCTTCTCTTGTGGCCTTTCAACAGTGTGACAAGTTTAAACTTAGCTTAAGCATAACTCTTTAATCAGCGCTCTTTAAATGAATGTTTGAAGTAATTGAAGATGGGGAAACGATTGTTTTCGCCGAAAAATCTTGTCGACTTTTTTGAAATCTTCCTTTATAAATGAATACTTAGCTGGTAAACTCTTGCTTTAAATAAAGACAATTAACAATCACAATGTCATAAGCAGCACCTGTAAATGAATTGCTTTTTCTAACATAGATTTTTCTTTCTTCTCTTGTGGCCTTTCAACAGTGTGGCCATACAGTGTGGCCAACAGTGTGACCCACAATTATAGCGTCACCCTTTAGAGGGCCTAAATTACCCAAAATTAGGTCAATTGTTCTGATTTTTTTTGGAGATAAATCTTAAGGATCTCTCCTAAAATGTTGCCCATTATCTAATCGATTCAAGGTTTCAACTTTTTTATATAGCCTTTCAAAGTTTTCAAAGTTGAGAGCCAAAAGTCCCTTGGCACGCTAGGACTTATAGGATTTTTTTTGAGAGCTATCTTGTCAAAATCTCGTTTAGATTGAATTCATTATGTAAAATGAACAAAATTTCATGTGCTTTCCACAGTTTAAGTGCAAAATTTCTTGAGAAATGTCACCAAAACTCACTTAATATGATCTGCGTTTTCACTGGGCACTCAGAGAAGCCACTAAAGAATAAGAAAATCTTATTTTTTTCAAGGTTTATCGCTTTTAAATTTTATAAATAAATATGATTCATTGAAAATCACTAGAATCTTAAAAACTTTTTATCAAAAAAATGAAACTTAAATGATAAATGAGTAGCGTGTCGAGGGACTTTTGGCTCTCAACTTTGAAAGGCTATATAAAAAAGTTGAAAGCTTGAATCGATTAGATAATGGGCAACATTTCAGGAGAGATACTTAAGATTTATCTCCAAAAAAATCAGAAGGAATGACCTAATTTTGGGTAATCTAGGCCCTCTAAAGTGTGACGCTATAATTGTGGGCCATCTAATCGTAACTCACCCATCAATAAAGCTGCGGCCATGCTAAAGCTTGTCACCACGTGCGTGAAAATTAAAATGACCGCAATTTGTGGCCGCGTGTTGCTCTCGTAGTCGATTAAATAATGAGTGGCCGTGTGCCTGAATACGATTGTCAACAGAAAGTAAAAGCTGAAGTTTATTTCTCTATTTTCAAATCTTGTAACATTTATAATAGACAGATTGATTCAAGTATAGTACTGTACTGTATAATGCAATAACTCGAGATCATGATAATGTGTTACGTTTCGAAGAATCACCTCTCCACTACGATCCAAAACCACGACAACGACGAGACACCGACACAATGTTGACGAAAAAGTGAGACTACTAATAGAAATGGAGCACTGTTTGCGGCACCTAAAGATTGTAAAAGAACCGAATTACGGAGAACGTTAATGAAAAGTGGTTTTTCCATATTTTAAAACCTTATTTATATAAAGGAAAGTCTTACCCGTAAAAAGAATCCATTCAAATTCATATAAAAACATGAAAGTGCGACAGAAAACGTGCAACCAAATATGAAGAAGTTTTGTCATGAAAATTCGAATAAAATTTTCGTGTAAAAGAACCGAATTACGGAGAACGTTAATGAAAAGTGGATATGTGAAAAAGATAAACAATTGCAAGAATATCTCAAAAAATGTGAAGAATAAGACGAGACGGTGAGAGATCGGGGATTGCTAAAAGTGGATTCGAGGGAATTATTTTGATTTCTTTGCAATATTCACTCTATTTTCGTGCTACTTTTTTGTCTTTTCTATTAGATTGGTGCATTGAAAACTGCGGGCTATTTCGCGGGACGCGCAGATAAAGAAGACAGCAGCATAGAACCCGCTGAAAGGTGGGTTTGTTTACTTCAACATTTCCTCTAATTATTGCGAAATTTATGCTTCCAGCTTTTTATTTTTTGATATTTTTTTTTACTTCTTCTATTGCACTCGACAATCTGCCACCGGGATATATTCGTCATGTCATGCTTCATGAGTTCCTACAAGAGCACAGTGCAGGCTTGGCAGCTGCTAATATTAAAAAGATATATGTGGAGGATTCACCTTCCGAAAGAACGTGTCGAGTATGGTTTGCCAAGTTACGATCTGGGGACAAATCTTTGAAATATGCAGAGGACCGTGGAGCGGCACCCCAACTGGATGATTCCAAATTACTCGAACTCATTACCAACGACCATCGGGTATCATCGCGTGAATTGGGAGAAGAGTTAGGGGTTGATCATGCTACAGTGCTAAGGCACCTTCATACCCTTAGATTTAAATCGAAACTTGGGACTTGGGTGCCCCATGACCTCATTGACCCCCAGAAGTGGCAGCGCGCCTCGATCAGTGCCGTCCATCTCTCACGATATCTCACGAATCCTTTCTTCCTCGAATTGTGACAGGAGATGAGAAATGGGTTTTATCTGTGAACTTTCGGAGGAAGCGGCAATGGGTGGGGCCAGGCGTGAAACCCGAAAGTGACCCTAAGCTCAATTTGCACCAGAAGAAGTTTATGCTCTGCGTTTTCTGGGATATGGAGGGAGTGGTGTACTGGGAGTTGCTGGATAGCAAGACGACCGTTAATGCAATTAAATACAGTGAACAGTTGGGAAAGGTGAATGAATCCTTGAAGAAGAATAGGCCCTCCAAGTCAAAGATCGTTCTCATCCACGACAACGCGCGCCCTCATGTTGCAAAACTGACTCGCTCTAAAATAAATAGCCTTGTTTGGGAACTTTTGGCGCATTCCTCATACAGTCCGGACCTCGCCCCTTTTGATTACTATTTATTCCGGATCATGAGTAATGAGCTTGCGGGAGAACACTTCGATTCGGAAGAAGCAGTCAGAAATTGGCTTTGAAAGTTTTTCGATTCAAAACCAAAATCCTACTACGAAAGAGGAATCCGCAAATTGCCTGTAAAATGGGCAGAAGTCACCAATAATAATGGAAATCATTTCGAATGAATTCATGGTTTTATGTTGAATAAATTTTAGTTCAAAGTCCCGCAGTTTTCAATTCACCAACCCAATATTTAATTCTCTTTTAACCCTTATCTATTTAGAAATGAAACTGATGATACTTTATCATTTTTTTGTCCTTCAAATATGCAAATCTAATCGCTTTTTGGTGAAAGAGTTTTGGTGGTTTTAATTTAGCACAGTCCGGACCTCGCCCCTTTTGATTACTATTTATTCCGGATCATGAGTAATGAGTTTGCGGGAGAACACTTTGATTCGGAAGAAGCAGTCAGAAATTGGTATTGAGTTTTTCGATTCAAAACCAAAATTCTATCACGAAAGAGGAATCCGCAAATTGCGTGTAAAATGCGCAGAAGTCGTCAATAATAATGGAAATTATTGGGTTGGGGAGAATGAGTCGGCGCCGAAAATGAAAAAAATGTCTAAAACTTCTATTCGACTTCGTCAAATAATATGCGTTTGATATGAGTAGAATGGTTAACTAATTCTCTACAAAATGACATTTAAAAGAAAATTCAAACAGCGCCTCCGCTCAAGAAAAAGCCATTTTTTCACAAAAACTACAAACTGTCATCTAGAAAAAACCATTGGTGGGATCTTCCTGCAAATTTGGCAACTTAAGTAATTGAATGTGCTCTATCTTTTTTATATAAACACCAAAGAAGGTTTATGTGAAAGAAACTGTTCAAATGATGAGTCGGACTCTTTGCCATTTTAACCAGCTGCGTTTGGAAGTTCATAAACTCCACGAAAGAAAAGCTTTGGGGAATCTCTCAAAAGTCATTTTGTAGAGAAATAGTGGATCCTTTTGATGAAACCAAACGTATGTTTAAAGAAGGCTTTATGTGTGCAAAAAGTCCCTTTAAAGTTTGGCGCCGACTCATTCTCCCCAACCCAATATTTGGAATGAATTCATGGTTTTATATTGAATAAATTTTAGTTCAAAGTCCCGCAGTTTTCAATTCACCAACCCAATAGTAACAGAAATCTGATACTAGATTTCCCGATCCACTATTAGATCTATTATAAACTAAACAATTGAAATACTAAATACCTTTCTAACAAGGGAATTTCTTTCATTTTGAAAGAAATATTATATCAACTCTCAAATCAACTATATTTTTAATAGTTTTCTTGTTTCTCAAACCTCAATCACTGTCATGTTCTCCAGTAATGACAAATAGGTCTTGAAAGAACCATTTGGCCCAAAGAAATAAATCATTTAAATAAACACAAAAAGATTTGAAGACTATTTTATGAAACAGCTCTTTTCTCTCTTTTTTTTTCCACCTGTTTCACTTGATATTTCTTTTTTTTTCTATTAATTAGAGAAAGTTTTAAAGAAAGTTTTGATTGACTTTCGGAAATTGGTAGATCACTGACATCAAATTTTACAAAAACTTTTGAAAAGAAGCGAAAAGACCCGAAAAAATTGGTATAATTGATCTTTCTGGCAGATTTTGGCTGACTGTACTTGACTGACTATGCCAGCAGTGCAATAGATCAACTAGATCTAATCAGAATAAGGCTTTGATTCATTAAAAGTTCTTAGACATATTAGGACGTATATGAAATGAACCTCGCCTTTGTCATGACCTCGCCTCAACTCCCTCATTTTAAGACCAGATGTCAGAGATATAACGTGAAACACAAAACAAAGTTTAAGCTGATTTTATGCTAAAATCGCCGAGCACAAAGCACTGGGAAATTTAGACTTTCAGATGCTGGTAAAATCTGTTGTTAGCCATAAACGCTTTTTGATTTTTCAATATTGTATGTAGTATGCCTAGTGCTTACTGCCTAGTGTTTACTGCCTAGTGCTTACTGCCTAGTGCTTACTGCCTAGTGCTTACTGCCTAGTGCTTACTGCCTAGTGCTTACTGCCTAGTGCTTACTGCCTCGTGCTTACTGCCTCGTGCTTACTGCCTAATGCTTCTCTTTCCTCTTTCGTAAAGATGTTTTGGCCTAGTTGCAAACCAATCCTTCAACCAAATGAATCAGAAAAATGAGGCCGCTACTGAGCCACTAGCTCCGCATTTAAAGAAGAGAGAAAAAGCTTATAAGGACTCCGAAAATCGGCCTAAACTTCGATGCCAGATATCTCGCGTTACAGAGCTTCTTTGAAAAAAGTAAAAGCATATTTAGAATCAGCATAGCCAATTCTATGGCTCTCGTATTAAAAGGTCACCTTGACCTGTAGCCTTTCCCTAGTGAGAATATTGGACTACACAGCTTGTTCACTTTTGAGTAAATCCAAGAATCGCCATCTGACATGACTGACGCTGAACCGGACACCCGGTTTAATTACCCAAGTTTGCGGTGATGTCATTTCTCCGTTGTTTTGCAACAGAATTACACCAAATTTTGGCCTTAAAATGAGAGAGTTGAGAAATGACAAAGTCATTGCCAACTCAATAGATCAATTGAGTTGATCGTTAGATCGATAAATCGTTCTCAAAAATCAATCAGCCTGACCTTCTTTTAAGTCATCATTCGATTATTTTCATAACATTTTGCAAAATCGAAGTTTAGGCCGATTTTCGGAGTCGTTATAAGCTTTTTCTCTCTTCTTTAAATGCGGAGCTAGTGGCTCAGTGGACGCCATCATTTTTCTGATTCATTTGGTTGAAGGATTGATATGCAACTAGGCCAAAACATCTTTACGAAAGAGGAAAGAGAAGCACTAGGCAGTAAGCACGAGGCAGTAAGCACTAGGGAGTAATCACTAGGCAGTAAGCACTAGGCAGTAAGCACGAGGCAGTAAGCACTAGGCAGTAAGTACTAGGCAGTAAGCACTAGGCATACTACATACAATATTGAGTTGATCGTTAGATCGATAAATCGTTCTCAAAAATCAATCAGCCTGACCGTCTTTTAAGTCATCATTCGATTATTTTCATATCATTTTGCAAAATCTAGAATTACATTTTGCAAAATTTACTCTCCATTCAATATTCTTGTAAACCAGTAACCAACGTTTATTTCACCAATCATTTTTATAATAATTAAAGTAGATGTTCGACCGGCTTTGTGGATCGATATTCTTGATGTGCGTGCGCTTGTGGACAGGTGTTTTCCAGCCGAAAAACGCGTACAAGAGTTGCTCGTAGTGAACACGCCACTCTTCGACAGTCCACAGGGAAAGCAAAAGAATCATGAAAGGATACCTGAGAATATTTGATATTTGATAAAGGGAATTCAAAGATTCAAGACCAAGCAAAGCACATATCCAACACGGAGAAGATCACTTGAGCCATCGGTGTACTTTCCTCAAAAAAACCAAAAGCAACAACGACGAAAATGCCGTATAACAAGTTGAAGAAAGTGGCGAAAAGCATAAAGCGATGAAGTAACTGAAAAATATTGACCTTAAAAAAAGATATGATCTATTTGAAATTTGAAAGATGAAGAGCTGCTTTTATAAAGTTGCTCAGTTTTTGCTTGTCTTATATTGTCATTTCCTCTAATCCCCGAAGATTCTCCTCCAATTGATATCGAGTTGTCAGCGAGTAGCGTTTCCCCTTAAATGGATTCTTCGAGATTTGACGAATCACTCGTTTATTGTACCAACGAAGAACATGGTGAAGCTGAAAAGTTTAATTCACTTTTTAGTTTGAAATTTAATTTGAAAGTTAATTTAATATTTAATCATTTGAAAGTTACACAGCAAAATTGTCTAATTCTTCCAAGAATACCCACTATGGCGATGAAAATCTGCGCCATTGCGTATGGTGGAGCGACGATGAGAATTGTTAGCGGGATATTGTAAGCGGCACCTGGAATGGAGAAATTTGCAATGATTTATTTGATCATTTATTTTATTTCCCATTTATTAATTAAACTGATTGATCTTGCTTAATTTGCAATCATTTATTTGATCTTTTGTTTCATTAGCCATTTACCAGTTAAACTGATTGACTACTTTGCTTAATTTGCAATCATTTATTTGATCCTTTGTTTCATTTCCCACTTACCAATTAGAATCGCTCCCACAACCCCGAAACAACCGAAAAATTGAACAACTAAAAGCATCGCCGAAATATAGAGCCTTTTCTTTTCCTCGTAATCCAAGAGGAACCAAGTGGCAGCAATTCTGTAAATGAATGAATTATGAATTTGCTACAATAGGCTACAGTAGAATTTAAACTGATTGACTATCTTGCTTAATGTAAAGAATCTTCAATTCTTTACACTTTTCGTTCAGCTGCAAAACACAAATGTCTGTTTCCAATTCTGGACTAATCGTTTGTCCATAAGTTTAAAAGAAAATCAACCTCTCGACTAAAATGAAAAGGCATGAGATACATGAAACGGCTAAACAATGCTGTCGACCGACCGAAAGAAACAAAAGAAACGGGGCACTGTTGGGTTGACCTAAAGAATGATTGAAATATTTGCAATTTTCGAAAACTTGAGTCGATTGACTATCTTGCTTAATGTAAATAATCTTCAATTTGATTTGTTTTTTTGATTTGTTTTTTGATTTGTTTTTTGATTTGACATCAATAAACTTATGAGCTCACCTGTGAATTGAAACCATCCAAATTGATAGGGTAACATAAGAATTCGAAAGACATCTTGAAAAAAAAGATGAACGAGTTTCATCGCAACGATTCGAATCAAATTCTCATGCAAAAGTACTGATTGAAAAATGATTTTGAGAAAAATCGGATAGCTGATAAAGGTCAAGAGCATGAGCAGAAGCTCTAAGATCAAGAAAAAATTGGAGACCAGTTGGTGCGTGGGATGGTTCTGACAATGAGAAAGGTTTCGATTTGAGTTTTCTTTTGCTTTAGTTCGGCTGTCCATTGTACAAGTTCTACTTTAGATCTAGAGGCTATCAGGTACATTTCAAAGCCACTTTTATGACCAAATCCAAGGTTTCGATTTGAGTTTTCTTTTGTTTTAGTTGAGTTTTCCATTGCACAAGTTCTACTTTAGATCTAGAAGATATCCAGTACATTTCAAAGTCACTTTTATGACCAAATCCAAATCCAGAGCTTCAGAATTCTTCAGACAAAGCTCCGAATTTCAGAATTCTTCCCTATTTCCTCACCTCGATCACTGTGCGATTCTCCAAAAATGATAGAAATGTTTTCAACGATCCATCAAATCCAAAATAATATATCATCTCGTTTACAGTATTATTATTTTACAAATTTTCAGCAAAAATCTCAACATTTTAACTTTTATCACACCTTTTTTTTCTCTAAAATTTCCACCTGGACTTAATGAAAATGATAGAAATTTCTTTTTTTTTCATTAAAGAAACTTTATTCAAAGAAAAAGGTTCGCAGTTGCGTCTAATCATTAAAAATTTGAATTCTTAAGTGATAGAAACTACACGATACAAGTTGTGATGAAAAAATGAATATTAAATTTTTGAGGGTACATGTAAAATTGGTCATCGATCATAGATTTATCATTTCGATCAATGTAGATTTACAATAAAGCCAAGTGCTACTGGTTTCACCGAAAAAAAACACCGGATTTTGCTTTTAATTTATCTTGCTCCCTCTTTGTTTAAATGTCTATCAAGCTATAAAGTTCAATTCTAAGATAGAAATAAACAAAATAAATTTTTAACAAATGTATTTTGCCCAAAATAAGCACGATGGAAGGCAGATTTGATTAGCCAATCCATTTACCCAAATTGATTCGTCCATTTCACCAGAGACCCAATGGCTGACTGGCTAGGAGCCTTGTATCCAAGTCCTGAGGTCAACGTTTCAATCCTATCTAGATTATTGGTCTCTTTTTCTTGGCTAGGTTTTTTTTTCTTCTTTACATTTAGAGCTGAAGCATCGTGCTTGTATTGTTTATACCACATTATTCGTGTGAATAAATGTATACCGTAAATATTATCTCTAATATTATTGCACCATGAGCGTCGTCTAAATTCCTTGAAATCTCGAAAAGCGCTTATCAGAACCTATCGATGTGGGGTCGGAAAATGTAGCTGACGATGAGATCTAGTGGGGGATTTGAGTGTTTCGTAGCTTGTAGTAGTTTGTAGCGTCAATTTTTATTGAATAATGGTTTTCGAAAAAGGTATCAGCTTTCGAAACTATACTAGTCGTAAATTCTTCTTTATTTTCCTTATAAAAAGTTTACACACTCAAAAAACAAACCCCGCTTAATCGAAATAATGAAATTGAAATAATAAAATGCATAGTCGAAGCGTGTCCTGAGCGATCATATAAAAAGCAGTGACAATGAAGATTTGGAGAAGATTCGGAGAAGATTCGGAGAAGATTTGGAGAAGATTTGGAGAAGATTTGGAGAAGATTCGGAGAAGATTTCGGTGAAACATCCTCAAACGCAGCAGTGCTTTCAAGACATTGAAATATGAGAGAATTGCAATGAGCAGCAAAATGATCTCGATCAAGACGATTCAAGACGATGCAAATGGGAAACTTCTGGAAACGATCTAGTTTGATTTTGTTTGAAAAGTGTGTCAGAAAGTGATAGAAAGTAAATGAGGATTGGTTATTTGTGTTTTATTGCTTTTATTTAATAGATGATAGAGTTCCTTTATAGTTCCTTTATAGTTCCTTTATAGTTCCTTTAAAGTTCCTTTAAAGTTCCTTTAAAGTTCCTTTAAAGTTCCTTTATAGTTGCTTTATAAAGCTTTTGTTGATTAGCTTATTCGTTTGTTTGCTTTATTCACTTAATGCTTTATTCACTTCATGAAGTATGTGCCAATGATTTCAACTTGTTCGCTTCCCATCTTGCCGTCTTTTTGATGTGTCCTCGATTGATGAGCTCATCGATCATATCGACCATTCCATCAAGAGTACTCCTTGGGGACATTCCAAGAAGTTCTCTCATCTGAAAAAAAAACTCTTCATTGTTTGATTTATTTCATCAGTTTTCGATTAGTGTTCAATTTATGGAAGCCCATGTAACATTAAAAATAGATTTGATTTTCTTTACCCTTTTCAACCTTTTCGTTAAATTTTCTTTCTCATTTCAATTTACAAATTTCAATAGAAATCAATTTTCAATTTTCAATTTCAATTCAAACCTTTGTATTATTAAAACGAATGTAGCATTGCATTTTGAGCACATCGATCATATCGGCGCTGAAGAAAGAGCCGATTTTCACAACGAATTGTGGTAGAGTTCCAGTAGTCGGCGAATAGCCTATCAAGTTTCTTGGTTTGATCAATCAATATGACAATTCTATCCGCAAATTAATAAAGTAAAGAAATGAATGGCAAAGAATTTGGAGCCGATTGAACCCTCAATCTTCTGCTTACCGGCAGATTTTCTACCACTAAGCTATGCCAAGAAGAAACAGGAAAGACAAGGAAGGAAGAAAGAAAGAAAGAAAGGAAGGAAGAAAGAAAAGCTCACTAACCCGCTCATTAACCCGCTCATTAACTCACCTAATGGCCCAAAAACCTTTTTCAATCTTATCCCGAAATCTTTCATTGATACTGGATCCTCTTCAGTGACCGCAATACGATGATTGTTTGTTTCCGGTCTTTCCAGAGCACGGATATGAGCCTTAACCTTTTAGATATAAACTTTAGATAACCCGATAACCCAGCCAGCTTATATAATGTGGCTAGCGGACATTTGAGACACGCCCCGCCCCTTTTCCCATTAAAAATCTAAATTTAAGTTTAAATATCTTTGTGTTGGGCTGTTCAATTCAAATATTCTTGGTATCATTGGATGCGCCAAGTCTTTCTCTGTCGATTGGTATAAAAACTATTGTAATTGAACGGCTCAAGACCAAGAGATTTGAGTTTAAAGTTGGATTGTCAATGGAAAAATGGGTTGGACTTAGGCTCAAATGTCCCACAATCATATAATGTATAGTTTTCTCACCTCAGCCACATCACGTATGTCAATCGAGTTGAAGGCCATCTTTGGCAGCATCGGCATTGTCATTAGTTGAATTGCTAACTGGAATTGGTAACTTAATATTGCACTTAAATAACTAGATAACTTAACTAACTTAAATAACTTAAATTAAATAGAATATTGCAAAAGATTAGGTGTTTGGATATAAAAAAGCGTTGCTAAACTAATTTTTGTGAGAGAAGCTTTTAAAAAATATCTTTTTGTATTTAAAAGTGCGTTATCTTGTGCATATTTGGAATATTTTTAAACGGATTAGACTTAGTGCGAAGGCTAGCGGCTAGCGCCTCGCACTAAGTCTATTTGGGTTTGGGCTGAACCCCCATTTTCTGGATCTCAGCCAGTTCTCGGAGCTAAGGAACACCCGCTTGGCGATGCTCATCCGCCCCCCATTTAGGCTTAGGCTTAGGCTTAGGCTTAGGCTTGGACTTAGTGCGAAGGCTAGCGACTAGCGCCTTGCACTAAGTCTATTTGGGTTTGGGCTTAACCCCCATTTTCTGGATCTCAGCCAGTTCTCGGAGCTAAGGTAATTTCTTATTTTTAAGATCTTTTTTTCTTGCTTTAGATGACCGACTTCAAATATATCAATTCTGCCTACTTGACGATTTAAAACTGGGCAAAACAGTAGCGGAATCCCATCGAGATTTGGTCAAAGCATTTGGGAATAATGTATTGTCCGAAAGCCGATGCCGAGCCTGGTTCCAACGCTTTCGGAATGGTGATGAAAGTCTTGAGGATGATGAACACTCGTCGACCTCAAGCGGTAGACAATGACACTTTGAGGGCTGCAATCGAATCGGATCCATTTCAAACGACGCGTGAATTTGCTCAACAGTTTTTATGTTCAAATTCTACTATCGATGAGCATCGCCGCGCCATTGGAAAAACGATCAGATGCGGGAAATGGCTTCCTTGCGAGTTAAGCAGTGCAAACACTCGTTTATAGCCGAATAACCTAATAGTTAATAACGAATTTTTGTTTACCTGTACACTTGTTCCAATATCATCGACTAACGGTGGTCCGACGATAAAACCGGGATTGATCACTGTAAAGTCGAATCTAAAAATGTGCTCTAGTGTCTAGAAATTTTGATTGAATTGAAAAACCTTATCCAAATTCTACCGTAAATACTGTAATAGTACCCCACCCTCCTCGTACAGTCGCGTAGTCGCAAAAGTTTTTTAGTATTTCATTTTTTTCGAAGCGCCCGTACTTTCAAAAAATAGCCCTGAATTTCAGCTATTTTTTGATACTTAAGCGCGCATTGTAGCATAAACCAGTGTCGAGAAAAACTCGATCAAAGCTAGACTACGCAACGCTCCGCACCGTCATTATGGGGCTGGGGTACTATTACAGTATTTACGGTATATTCTTTTCAACTCTTCACCAACTTATTCTTAAGTTCTCCGCTTTTGTAAAGTTTCCATGCAGCTTCTTCAGCCAACTTTTTACTTTTCGTGTACCATGTTGATTCCTAGAAAACAGGAAAACGGTTTAGTAAATGAAAAGTAAATGAAAAGTAAATCAAAAGTGGGGGTGGGACAAATGCGACCTTTTTTTGCGCACCTGGACATTTGCGCACCTTTTTTTTTGCTGGAAAAGGCCTTAGGAAAGGTCGTAGAGCTTCGAAAATGTTTCCATACTGGGGAATCGTATGCGTAGATTCCGAATTTCGACAAATCAAAGCAAATCAGACCTCGCTGACACGTTAAATTTGAGCTAAAAGGCAAAAACTACCCAACTTAACGCTTTTTCGCAGTTTTTGCCTTTTAGCCCAAATTTGACGTGTCAGCGAGGTGTGATTTGTCGAGATTCGGAATCTACGCATACGATATCCTTCTATGAAAACATTTTTGAAGCTCTACGGCCTTTCCTAAGGCCTTTTCCAGCAAAAAAAAGGTGCGCAAATGTCCAGGTGCGCAAAAAAAGGTCGCATTTGTCCCACCCCCATCAAAAGTAACTAAAAAAAAACATTTCACCTCAATATATGTCCAATCGTTTTCATCATAATATTCTTTTGGTGGATTGTGGCCATCTAAAAAGATCGAGTCGATTAATTTCTTTAGTAAATTTACCGCAAATTGCCAATGAGCTGCTCGTAAGAACCACTTTTTTCACTGATAATTCATCACCGCAAGCCTAAAGTCTAATTGACTTCAATATTGGATTTGAGTTACAAAAAAAGGACTTTACACTCACCTTCAGCACACTCGTTGCCCCCTGAATCGCCGTGTCCACCGTTTTCTGCGATCCACCGACAACGAGTGGAGAAGCCACGTGAAGCACATAATCACAGCCTTTCACTGCTCTAAAGCTCGCTTTTTTTTCTACTTTTACAGCCAAGAAAGCAAGAAATTCAAGAAAACTCAACTTATTTCATAAAACTAACTTTGGCCAAGTGTCATCTTTCATCAAATCAGCCTCAACAAGCTCGAGCCGTTTCCCGGTTGGCTCCAATTTTCGAACTGGATCCACCTAGAGGTTTTTAGTTGTTAAAAAAACACAATTATTAGGTTGGTGAATTGAAAACTGCGGGCTATTGTCATATGTGACAGTTTGAGCGCTTTCTTCAAAAGAAACCCATTTTGGTGTCAATGGAAAAGTTGTAGAGAATCAAAAATCAAGCTTATATCCAAATTTTCAGAACGATTTAAAAACTGGTTTTCAAGAAATGCGAAATTTACGAATTTTCACAAAACTTGCATTTTAAGCGGAACTACTGAGTGTATCTTTTTGGAAATTTGGCTATAAGCCTCATTTTTGATTCTCTACAACTTTTCTATTGACACCAAAATGGGTTTCTTTCGAAGAAAGTGTTCAAACTGGGACATCTCCAGTCCTCGATTTTTGAATCTCACACTTGTCTCACACACAAACCAAAATCCTACCACGAAAGAGGAATCCGCAAATTGCCTGTAAAATGGGCAGAAGTCGTCAATAATAATGGAAATTATTTGGAATGAATTCATGGTTTTATGTTGAATAAATTTTAGTTCAAAGTCCCGCAGTTTTCAATTCACCAACCCAATAGTAACAGAAATCTGATACTAGATTTCCCGATCCACTATTAGATCTATTATAAACTAAACAATTGAAATACTAAATACCTTTCTAACAAGGGAATTTCTTTAATTTTGAAAGAAATATTATATCAACTCTCAAATCAACTATATTTTTAATAGTTTTCTTGTTTCTCAAACCTCAATCACTGTCATGTTCTCCAGTAATGACAAATAGGTCTTGAAAGAACCATTTGGCCCAAAGAAATAAATCATTTAAATAAACACAAAAAGATTTGAAGACTATTTTATGAACCAGCTCTTTTCTCTCTTTAGAGGAATCCGCAAATTGCCTGTAAAATGGGCAGAAGTCGTCAATAATAATGGAAATTATTTGGAATGAATTCATGGTTTTATGTTGAATAAATTTTAATTTAAAGTCCCGCAGTTTTCAATTCACCAACCCAATAGTTCTTTAAAAAAACAAAACTATTCAGTTATATTTAGAAATATTAGCATTAGAAAAGAATATTTCAAAGTTGCTTACCTTTTGCGGATTTTTAAGACTCCTTACTGTGCCACGAACTCGATAACCTCTTTCTAATAAAAGTTTAATGCACCACGAAGCAAGGTATCCAGAAGCGCCACTAACAAGCACTACTGTAAAAGTATATGTTCATTTTAATCAAAGTTCAACTGCACCAGCATTTAAGAGCATAAAGTACGACACAGAACTTTACTAGCGTACTTTTTGTGCTCTCAAATCTTGTGAACACACCATTTCCTGGTGCACTCGAGCCCTCCATTCTTTCTCTTTATGCAAAGTGGAAACTAGGAGAAAGATGAAGAATTTAGTGCACCGGAAAGGGTGTGTTTCTGAATAGAAAGTACATTCACTTTCAAAGTACATTCACTTTCAAAGTACATTCACTTTCAAAGTACATTCACTTTCAAAGTACATTCACTTTCAAAGTACATTCACTTTCAAAGTACATTCACTTTCAAAGTACATTCACTTTCAAAGTACATTCACTTTCAAAGTACATTCACTTTCAAAGTACATTCACTTTCAAAGTACATTCACTTTCAAAGTACATTCACTTTCAAAGTACATTTACTTTCATTACATTTACTTTCAATTCAATATCAAAGTACATAAAGAACAGAAAGTACATTTACTTTGAAATTGATGTAAAGTTGATGAATTTAAGGTAATGTAAAGACAAAATCTCACAAAGAACTCACAAAGAACTTACACTTTTCTTCCATCATTCTTAGAGAAAATTTAGCAAATAAAATTCGATTAAATGAATAGTAAAAAAAAGCAAAAAAAATATGAGCTTTTGACTTGAAAATTCCCGAGAAAAGATTCCCGTTTCCCATTTTTATCTCATTCTTTTCGTGATTCGTGTCCACTTTTTGTGTAGTTTTGAAGTTTGTCGCACTTTGTTGCACTGATCAAGAAGAAAAATGGGAAAAGAAAACGTGAAAGATGATGATTTTTTGAAGAAATCACAAGATTTCATTATCAAATACTTTCTAGAAAGCACGAAACTCCAAATTTTTTTTTATTTTTAGTTAACTTTTCTTGCAAATCTTTAAATCATCATTTTTTTTTTGGTCAAAAATGAGCAGCTTGAAGGCCATCTTTGGCAGCACCGGCATTGTCATTAGTTGAATTGCTAACTGGAATTGGTAACTTAATATTGCACTTAAATAACTAGATAACTTAACTAACTTAAATAACTTAAATTAAATAGAATATTGCAAAATATTAGGTGTTTGGATATAGAAAAGCGTTGCTAAACTTATTTTTGTGAGAGAAGCTTTTAAAAAATATCTTTTTGTATTTAAAAGTGCGTTATCTTGTGCATATTTGGAATATTTTTAAACGGATTAGACTTAGTGCGAAGGCTAGCGGCTAGCGCCTTGCACTAAGTCTATTTGGGTTTGGGCTTAACCCCCATTTTCTGGATCTCAGCCAGTTCTCGGAGCTAAGGGACACCCACTTGGCGATGCTCATCCGCTCCCCATTAGGCTTAGGCTTAGGCTTAGGCTTAGGCTTAGGCTTAGGCTTAGGCTTGGACTTAGTGCGAAGGCTAGCGGCTAGCGCCTCGCACTAAGTCTGTTTGGGTTTAGATGGGAAAAGAGAACGTGAAAGTTGATGAACTTCTCACAACAAGTAAACTAGTTGAATGGATTTAAGTTCAATGGATCAATGGACAACTAGTTCAATGGACCAATGGACAACTAGTTCAATGGATCAATGGACAACTAGTTTAATGGACCAATGGACAACTAGTTCAATGGATCAATGGACATAAAGGCCCGCAAAAATTAAAATTAAATCCCTACATCATTGCCATTTTTGCGGGACAGTGATTCCCTAAATGAATTTGGTAAATCATTCAATCATTTCAATATCAATCTCTGTTTTGAAAAGAATTTAACGTAATGTTGGAAGAAATAGGTTTAAAAACTAGTAAAAAAAGTTTCACCAAATAGAACATTTCTTTAAATCTTTCTTTAAAGCTTTAAATCTTTAAAAAAAGATTGCGCCTACTTGGTGGATTTTATTTAATTCATTTGCAGTCTGCGATCATCTTTTAAACGAACCCTTTGATATGTTCGTCTTTTGGCTATGAGAATCGCTGATGCGGCAGATGCCGGACAACATATCAATATGACAAGCACACCAGAGATCACGGCGCATAATTTCATTGCCTAAATTATTGTACTTTTGTATCTTTTTCTTTTCTATTTTTTTAGCAGCTGCTTTTAATGTGCAAATTGCCTGTCATCTTTTTTAAACGAACCGATTTTTGATTGCATTTTAAGCAGAAAGTCAACGTGTAATGAACGCTCAAAAAAAACGGAAACACAACCTTTCTGGTGCACTAATTTACGCGATCGAAATTATACAGCAAGAAAATGAAAGAATTAAGTACACAAAGAGAGGGTATGTTTCGATAAAAGCTCTATAAATCATCAAAGCCATTAAGTACACAAAGAGAGGGTATGTTTCCATAAAAGCTCTATAAACCACCAAATCCATTAAGTACACCAGAGAGGATATGTTTCTATAAAAGCTCTTTAACTCACCAAAGCCATTGTCTCGGGAATCGCAATGAACTTGTACTCGCCGGTTTGCATAAAAGTGATCTCAGTGAAAAGCACGGGAATGCAATGCGAGTAAGCGACGAGATTTTGAACGATCACATAGAAACGAAGCCAATCCGCCACGCCAGATCTGACGCTAGGAATCATTGAGTACAAGGAAAGTAATGTGAATTAGATTCGCGTAAAAACTCTAATAGAAGACCCGGATCTTCTGTTTTTCAACTCCCAAAATTGGTTTAGCCAAAAAAGTAGGTAAGACTCTTTACCTGCACATGAATCAAAAATTTCTTTCTTTTTAAAAACTATTCTGTGTGACAGCCCATAGTCTAAAAGATGCAGAAAACATGCTTAAAAGTAAAAATCTTTTCTTACCCAAGACCCACGGATCTCCCAAAAAAATGAACGTGGTCCTCCCTTACAATTTTTTTAAAAAGCACGTTTCTAATTTTACTGCTAACGCAAAAATACTTTTATCTGGACCCATATCTACAACTTTAGCTAAAAAAATCTTTAAAAAACTCAGGATTTCGAGGAGTTTAAGGTGGGGAGAGGATCTTCTATTGGAGAGGTGTCTTCCATTAGAGTTTTTACGGTACTACAGCTTTTTGGTTCAATAAAATATCATTTTATAGTAACTAAAATGTTGACGAAAACTCACATAAACAAATCTCAACGCAAGAAAACACGCGGTGAGTCGATTCAGCGAAATTAAACAAGTCCCCAAGGCGATCGAAACGAAACCACCGAATTGAAGGTACAATGAAAGTTTGGCCATCAATGGATAATTGTGAATGATTTTTAAAGCTGTCGCTACAGCCGAATAGTACTCGGCTATGCGATGGATGATTGCCGAGATTGCTAAAGAAAGGTAAGACTAAATGGTAAGATTGCTTGTCTACAGGGTGTCCGAAAAAAAGTGGTCATCGGTTTGAGTCTGGAAAAATTTTCTCGTTGATTTTTCAAGGCTTATCATGGTGTCAGAATTGGTTTTGCCTCAGGCGCCACACAACAAGATGAAGTTGATTTTTCTGATGATTTTGTGAATGCAAACATTGTCTACTCTGGTATACATGAAAAACACACTTTTGAATTCCCCTATTTCCCCACAAATCTTTCTCCTTTTTCTTTCTATAAATTTGTTTTGATATTTGGAGCTTAAAGATAAGAGATCTTGAAAATAAGAGATCTTTAAAACCCCGAAAAAGTCGGTCCTGGGAAAGCAGCAACAAGAGGGTTTTCTCGTTCAAAAATTGACCATATTTTGAAGATTTTTGAAACAGCCAATCCAATAATGCAAACTGAAATTGTGACTAGAAAATTAAAAGAACAAAACAAAACACAATTATCGAAACGAAAAGTAGAAAGATTTGTGGTGAAACAGAGGGATTCAAAAGTGTGTTTTAGGTTGTTTTTTCATGTCTACCAATACGTGGATCTTGAGCTCCCTGGCCGATGCATCAGCCCCTATATTTATCAGGAAAAAAATCAGCTTCATCTCGTCGTGTGGCGCGCTGAGGCAAAACCAATTCTGACACCACGATGAGGCTTGAAAAATGAACGAGAAAATTTTCCCAGACTCAAACCAATGATCACTTTTTTTTTCCGGACACTCTATATCCATATGGATCTACAAGGCTAGTTCTCAAGCTTGAAAAGTAGAAAGATTTGTGGTGAACAAACTACAAGCCTAGTGCTCAAGCTTGAGAACTAGCCTTGAGAACTAGCCTTGAGAACTAGCCTTGAGAACTAGCCTTGAGAACTAGCCTTGAGAACTAGCCTTGAGAACTAGCCTTGAGAACTAGCCTTGAGAACTAGCCTTGAGAACTAGCCTTGTTCTCAAGGCTAGTGCTCTAGCTTGAGAACTAGTCTTGTAGTTTTGTAAAAGAAAAAAACTTCAAATTAAACTAACCAGTTGATTTGTAAAACGCATAATACGGTCCATTCAACTCTTTTTTCTTCGAAGTGAAAACGATTCGGAGGAGATGAATTTGGAAAGCGACCAATGGAGGATCGATCATCAACAATGCGAGGCGATAAGGGTCCATTTTCTTCAAGAAAACACCAAAAATCGGGTAAGTGAAAGAAATTTTAGAATAAAAACATAATCAAGTTTTACTTTGAATGTAAAAAGTTGAAAATTTATACGAAACATCGAAACTAGAGTTAAAATCAGAGATTTTGGATTCCTTCTAATAGTTCTAATAAATTTTCGACAAATATCGACACAAACTATAGCTCGCAAAAGTAAAAAGGCAAAACCTAAAATCGAGCTCTAGCATTTTCTAGCATTGAAACGAGCTCTAGCATTGAAAATTCAACAGGTGATTGCTATTCTTTGGAAATTATTACAATAAATGGGAGGTGTTTGAAGGTGAAATTTCTTTGCCAATTGCGCATAAAATTTTTAGTGAAAAAAGGGGAACTTTTAAGTTCAAATTTTCCCTTTTTTTCATAGTTAAATTTTTTTTTGGAGATAAAAAGTCTCAAATGCCTTTCCATTCTCATTTTCCGATTTTCAATCTCAAAAATTCAAATTCAGAAAGAGAATTGTGCCTGTGATTTCACTTCAAAAGTCACTTTTCAGTTCACTTTTCATTTATCCATTCATAGAAATGAAATTTCAGCTGTCTTTGAGTGAGTCGAAATTTCTATGGGGTAGTCGAATCATTCGTAAGCGGCTACGACATATATATGCTTTATTCAAGGGTGAATAGCAGCGAATCAGATAATCATAACCGCATATAACATGTTTTTCTGTACCAGTTGCGCATATTTATGCGCAACTGGTACATAAATTTCTTCATTAAACACCTCCCATTTATTGTAATAATTTCCAAAGAATAGCAATCACCTGTTGAATTTTCAATCAGAAAATGCTAGAGCTCGATTTTATTAGGTTGATGCATAAGTGTTTTTGTTCCTTTTCGTCTGCCGTTTCAAGCCAACAAATGCACGAATTAAACTACGGTTGATTTCATTAGAAAAAGCAATTATTTTTCTGCAAAATAACATTAAAACGGGTTTAAAAATATTGAATGCCTGGATTTTCTTGAGAGTATGAAGTCGGGTAGTCAAAAAGGGCTAACTCGATGATGCGGTTTAGACACCTTAGCTAAAGAAAACCTATCTTCGTGTCAATAGATAAAAGATAGAGAAAAAAAACGTTTGATATTTCGCCAAAATTTCAGAGAAATTCATTCAGCCAATTTTTCCGTAGAGTTTTTTATAGATTTTTACGAAAAAGGCGTTTTTCACTCTCGAATTTGCTTGAAAGTGAACCGAAATTCATTTAAAAAGATGCAAATTGAACAAAAAAACACTTTTTTTATCGAGCAAACTATAGATTAATTGGTGAATTTGTTACTTTTTAACAGAAGTACGAAAAAAACGAAAAGACTTATGCATCAACCTATTATTAGAATATTAAACTATTCTAAAGCATAACTCTGAAAATGTAAAAACTATTCAAAAGTTTTCATTTAAAAGAATAATTATTTGTTTTTAGCTTTTTATTGAATAGCTTTTATAAAATAGAAAAATATTGAAAAAATGAAATTTGCTTAAAGTTTTGATTTCTCTTGGGATACAGAAATCATTTAAAATGTGAAAATGACAAAAACGAGACGAGAAATTTGAAATTTTAAGCAAAAAAATTTGAGTAAGAAATTTAAGAAATTTGATGCGTTAGAAATGTTTTTTGTATAGTGTTCTCTTTTGAGAAAATTCTTCTTTCAGAGATTTTCCTGAGCGTTAAATGATCATGAGAAAAGCACAAAATGCGAAATTCAGTAAATTCATTAACGATTTCATTCTTTAACGACTTTCTTTATTGATAGAGTATCGAAAAACTTATGCCGACTCTTTGTTTATTATCTGAATTCAGAAATGAAATTGAAATACAGAAATCGTGGAAAAAGAAAAAATTTATCCGACACTCTACGCAATTATCGTGAAGGTTTTGTGTCATGTCATGATCCCGAGAGACCGCTCGATTGGATTTTTCTTTAAAATAAGTACTAGACTTGGTATTCGATCGAAAGTCTGTTGGATTGGATCGGATTCACTTCAATAGGGGATCCCTCTCAGCCTATCCACTAGATTTGCCATCCGATGGATTGAATCTGGATTATATCGGATCAAATCAAATGATGATCCGATCAAATGATGACCTTAAGATTATTGTTAAAACAGGCAATGATTTAGGCTCATCAACTCCTGAAGAAGTACAATCAGCAAATCGTCGCGCAAATCTCCGAGCATCCACTTGAGGGACGACAGTACACACTAGCGATTATATCGGATTAAATCAAATGATAATCCGAAGCCTCTATCAAATCGATTTGATCTGATTTGATAGAGTTTCGATCGGGTAGCAAGTCTAGTATTTTTTTTTAAAAATCCTTTCAGCCCAAGCATTTACTTGGTTTAGTCATCAGGTTTTTTACTAATAAAATTCGGAAAACTGGTTTGTATTGATAGCTTTGGCAAAGTGTTTCTTGAATTTCTTTCGTCGATATTGATGGTCCGTTGTTGAGGATGTTGGGTGACCGTTCGAATCGCTTGTGGATGTCCCACGTCAGTCTGACTCGCTTTGCCAATGCTCCAGCCAAGCGCCTGAATCACTTGCATTTATAATAACTTTAACGACATTTAAATATGATGCTTTTTTTAATCAAAGCATCATAGAGCTGTTGTTGGTGTTGTAAAATTACTGTTACTAAACTCACCTTTGTCCGCAACGTTCGATGAATCAACCACGGGGAAAAGGTGGTGAAAAACAAATGAATATCCATGCTGTAGTGCATCTAAACGATAATATAATATAAACAAAGTTTTATATTCAATATTCAAACCATAGTGAGGCCAAGAGTCGCGAGGCCACTCGCCGGAAAGAGTCGACCCAAATAAACGAACACTTGATCGACGCAACTCACCGAGAAAACCAATAAAAGAATTGCTGTTGAATAGGCTAGAAGTCTTTCTACCTATCAATTTTTTGATTTCTCTTAAAAATCATTTACGAATTTACTCGAGGAAAGCTCTTGTTTAACCGCAGAAGATGAATGGATATGATTGTTGAAGGACAAGAGATCAACAAGACAAGAATCGCGCTCACACAAGCACACAGCTTCATCGCCTAGAAAGTGAACTTTTAAGTGAACTATCGCTCAATTTTTGTAGAGTTGTAGAGCTGTAGAGCTGTAGATAAGAGCTGTAGCTCAATTTTTAAAAGAAATCAATTCTGGTAAACTTGAGAGTTAGTTAAGAATAGCTTTTTCAATGACTAATGCTTTTTCAATGACTTTTTCATGAAAAGCTAATCAAAAATAGGAATTATTCTTTCAATCAGCTTTAAAACTTCAACTTTAAAAGCAAATAAATTTCCTTACAAGTGCCGTCGACGTTGGGAAAGCGATGAACTTCTCCTGTCCCATTGGCAAAAAAGAAATTTGCGCAAAGAAACACGGCAACGCGTGCGCATAAGCGATGAAATTTTGAGTGAAAACCAATATTCGCATTACGTTTGCAGTCCACAACTAGAAAGATTTTATGTCTAGAAATTTAATGTCTAGAAAGATTTTATGTCTAGAAAGGTTTAACTAGAAAGATTTCTTTACTAAAAACTCTAATGTCTATTTAATGTCTTAGAAATAATGTCTAGAAAGGTTTAATGTCTAGAAAGGTTTAATGTCTAGAAAGGTACAATGTCTAGAAAGGTTTAATGTCTAGAAAGGTTTAACTAGAAAGATTTCTTTACTAATGACCTAATGTCTTTTTATTCTTAGAAATTCGTGTTGTCGAGCAAGGTTTAATGCCCAGAACCAGGGTCACTCTCGATAGGGACAAAGACAATTTAATGTCTAGATTTAACTAGAAAGCTTTCTTTACTAATTCTAATTCTTTTTCTTCTTACAAATCGTGTTCGAATAGGAGCCCAAACGAGGGTCACTCTCGACAAGGACATTAAAATAGTGCCAATTCCGATTGCGACATAGCCGGAGAATTGAAGGTACAAAGCGAATTGCGCCAAAATCGTTGATTTATCGACAAAACGAAAAAACATGGCTATGTCGACGTAAAGTTGAGTGATTGCATGGATCATATTGTTGAAACCTGAATGGGAAATGGGATTAGGTATGGCTTTGAAAGTGTTTGACACTGTTTTAGTTCAGAAAATCAAAAGTTAAAGCCTTTAAAGTATCAACTGATATTAGCACATTTGTTTTTCAAAACTTACCAACAGAATAATACAGCCAATAGTATGAAGATCTTCGAATAATTCCATAAACGTAAATGTTGTACAATGTATATAATTGTAGTGAAATTAAAATCGGATCGATTACAAAGAAGATGAGTCTTGTGTCCATCTTTTAGCTTGCATAGTGAGTGCCAATTTTGGTGAGTTTAGTCAAAATTGGAGGAAGTGCTGAAGGAATTACTAAAGGAAGTAGTAAAGGAAGAACTGAAGGAAGAAACGAAGGAAGAACTGAAGGAAGTACTGAAGAAAGTACTGAAGGAAGTACTAAAGGAAGTGCTGAAGGAAGAAACGAAGGAAGAGCTGAAGGAAGTACTAAAGGAAGAACTGAAGGAAGAAACGAAGGAAGAAACGAAGGAAGACTTCCTCGTGACATTCAAGTAGAACTACAGAGATTGAAATTTTTGCGAATTCCCCAGTGAATACGTTTTTCCTTTCCTCACACATGACTGAAAAAAAATGATAATTTTAAAATCAATAAGTATCTAGAAACGTGGTATTAATCACTTTTTGAAGTATTTGACATCGACTATAAGTTAGAACTTTAATCTACCCACAAATTCGATTGTAAACCTGACTTTAGACCCTGTAAATGAGACTAGAATTAGCTCAGAAATCAAGCCGAAGCCTTTCCTTCGCTTGAAATTTTTCAATTTCAAAATGCTTTACACAATCAAAATGCACTTAATCTTTTCTCGAGAAATTTTTCTGTACTGATGGGAATGTCGCGTAAAACCCACGCTCTATTTGAGATGCATGGATTGAGAAGAGACTGAACGGGGATTCGTTTGTAGACGTTTTGCATACGGACAGCCTTTCCGCTTTCCCCTTTCTCCTTTCCCCTTTCTCCTTACTTCCCTCGAGGGGTCCTTCGATGGAATTTTGTCTTCTCTTTCCTTCAAAAGCCTTCAACGAGATTGGTACACACAAATGGTACGAAAAGAGAGTAAATTGAAAAGAGGGAGAGTGGCTGACGTCACAACTCATGCAAATATCAACCCTTCAAATCGTAGAGAGAATTTGGAACCAGCGAGAGTTCCCATCGAATTACAGGAGAACCCATTTTGATATGGGAAATAAGATCTGATATCTGATCAAATATCGAGGTCTAATATGGAAAATGAAAGCTCTTAATGCTCTTTGAACCTTGTAACACAGTTAGGTTCTTCTAGAAGTCAGATCTTGAAGTCAGCTCTTGAAACCTTGTCAGAAGCCAGATCTTGGCCTGGTCTTGGCCTGGTTTACAAGCCCAATTTGAAGAAGTTGGTTTGAACAGTTTGAAAGTTTGCTTGAACACTGCACACATTATTACCTTGTTATTAAAGGTAATGATGTGTGCAAAATTCTGGAAACGCCTGACTCTAAGAATATCTTTCAGTCTTTGCATTTTATAAAAGTATTCACCGGAGAATTTGAAGGATGTTAAAGCTGCAAAAACTGTTGATTGTTTACCGTTAGCTATTGATCTCTCTTGGTGTCCAAGTCAATCGAGAAAACGAAAGATCGGGGTCCCCCAAATTTGACAAAAGATTCCCCTAGATGGACAAAAAAGGCATTTCTTTTCTTTAGGGAAAGAGGCTAGGACTTGGACTCTGTTGAGGGGATCGGTCCCAGCCCGTCCCAGTCTCTTACCTTCTCGATTTCCCGCAAAAAAAAAATAACTCCCTTACTTGGTTTAGTCTCCCGCAATTCCCCCTCCAGGCACCGCCGGCCACACTTCTACAGTATTCATTGTTGACATAGAGAGACTGCGCGAGGTGAAGAGCATTGAGACGGACGGATGAATGATGAGGGGAATTGAGTGGAGAGACTACACTACGTGTTACGTCACCTCTTCGACCCTGAGGCGAAGGACTGCCCCCTTCGCCTTGGGATGTCCAAGCCCGTACAGGGGAGACCTCGAGGGGTCACGCACTCTTTCCGTCTCTCTCTTTCATTCGAAACACTCACAAATACTTTCTCCTGGATATCTAAAGGAGTGGAACTACTTTTTCTAGGATTTTGTTGACAATTAACTCTACAGGCGACTACAGTAAGCCTACTTGTAGTTTTGGCTACAGTAACCCTACAGTAAGACTGCCAGGTTTACTGTGGATATTGCAGTAACCCTTCTGATACTTTTAAACCCTGATATTCAACCTTTTTTGAATTCACGATATTTGACCGATCACTGGGACTAGTTGTATTCAGAACTGAAGCTGAATCATCATCAATTGTATTCTGAACTAACTGAAGCTGGATCATCGATAATCTCATTCTGAATCTAGCACCTAGACTTCTCTATTCCACAAATGAGTCCCGCTTCATCGGGTTCTTTAAATCGAGCCGAGGGATCCACTTCACCGATCGACTCGGCAAATCGAAATGGCAGTGCCAGCTCGGCGAACTCCTCAAGCTCCATCACTCCGCACAGGTGATTGATTGATTTCATGATTTCATTCATAATGATTTCATTCATAATAATTTCATTCATAATGATTCCATTCATAGTGATCTCATTCATAGTGATCTCGTTCATAGTGATCTCGTTCATAGTGATCTCGTTCATAATGATCTCGTTCATAATGATCTCATTCGTAATGATTTCACAATACCTTCCTTTTTGCATGCTACAGTGCTATCTTTTGTGTCAAACTCCAAATACCATTTCGATAATCGATTTCTAGAGTTTTGCGTGAATTTTTCCATTTGAAGTTCAAGCAGCTTTCAAAGCTTAAACCCAAATCAAAACCAAACCAAACCCGTATTTTCCATTGGACTTGTTCATCTCATTTTCTAATCTGGTACTTCTAGTATTCAGTTGTCCACAGACTGTTGAGCGGGGACTGTTGAGCGGACTGTTGAGTATAGAGAAGTACTGAATTAGTACTTCTCTTTACTGAAAACCTTTTATCATTATAGATTTCGGTTATTTAAAAATTCTGTACTTTATATTTTCATTTTTTCTTTTGCTAAAGATTTCCAAAAACCAGTTCTTTGACCCAAAGTACAAAAGAAAATGCTGAAGAGATCCGTTCATTTCTCATTTCTCCTCTCTTCAATATTCCGGATCTCACGAGAGAATCATGCAAATTTGCTTTTGTGAGAAGAATTCCGCGAAATCTTTGAGAAAGAAAATTGAGTCCCCCGGCGAAAGAGTTGCGTCAATGTTTGGTCAGTTTGGTGGAGAAGTGAGAGGAGTCTTTTGTTAGGCAAAAGAATCCCCTTTTCTTTTCTTTCTTTTCCCCTTTTCAACTTTCCCCTCCCCGCTCAACAGTCCCGCACTCACTTTTCGTGTAAGTTTACTTTCGGTAAATATCTCCTCTATCGGATTTGAAAGTGCCCCCTTTTGGTGGATACTGGTACCACCTTTGTCCGTCTCACTTTCTACGGCTATTTCAGGGGATTTTTGAGACACATCCTTTAAATCAGCAACACCAGTTTTTGAAATGAGTTTCAAAAAAGGGATCTTTAAGAAAAGTCTAGGAAAAGAAAAGCCTTCTGAAAAATAATATCAGATTATTTTATCCAAAAAAAATATTTGAGAGAAGTACGAGGAAAAGCAGTGTCGACTGGTAGCTATTTTCACTTGGTAAAGCTATAACCAAATGTTAAGAACAAACAGACTATTGCAATCAAACTTTATCTAAAGGCAAAGGATATTCGAACTTTTTCCCGTCTTGCACTGTTTGTTAAGAAGAGCCCGATCTAGAGCTTGAGCTAGAGCTTGATCTAGAGCTTGAGCTAGAGCTTGATCTAGAGCTTGATCTAGAGCTTGATCTAGAGCTTGATCTAGAGCTTGATCTAGAGCTTGATCTAGAGCTTGAGCTAAAGCTTGAGCTAGAGCTTGTTCTAGAGCTTGATCTAGAGCTTGATCTAAAGCTTGATCTAGAGCTTGAGCTAAAGCTTGAGCTAGAGCTTGAGCTAGAGCTTGAGCTAGAGCTTGACCTAGAGCTTGATCTAAAGCTCGATGAGCTCGATCTTAAGTTAGAGTCTGATGATAAGGCATCTAGTCCTTATGCTTGAAACAAAACCATTTATCCCTTCTACATAATACTATACTTTCACTACCCATTTACAGAATCTAACCATAAGCTAATATTTATTTTTGGCCTTTCCAACTTACTGTTAGATAGTTTTTCTGATCTTTCAGCTTTCCCTCCCATGAGATTTCCTCCTTTTCCTTCCTTTTGCTCACTTTTCACTTCCTCATTTACCTCTCGACTTTTGCCATTTTGTTTACTCAAACTTTTTCCTTTCCTCTTTGCAAGCTGCTTTTTGAGCCGCTCTTTGAGCTAGCACAGCTATTTACAAAGTTGGTAATAGATGAAATTAGAAAATCAAGAAACTCTTCAAAATACCTTGATAAAGCCAAACTAAAGAGACAATCGGAATCTCAGAATCAGAATATTCTAAATCCTAGATCAACCAGGGGTGCCTCAAAGCAAAGACGCGATCAAATCAATGTGGAGATCGGCCGAATGCGAGATCTTTTACCGCTCTCCGATTCAATCAAAGATCGTCTATTTCAATTACAAGTAAATCTCACTTACAGCGCCTTTCAAAAGTCCAAAAGTTCTTATACTTTTTGTAAAACAAAGAGTTTAACTCAGAAAACACGCTGGATTATGTGAATTCAAGCATTTTTTTTACTTTTACTATACTTTTTTACATAAAAATTACAACTCTAAACAACTTTTTGATGAAGTTGTTTAAAGATTTGCTTTTTTTTTGCTTTTTCTGCTTTTCAGCTTTGAGTGCCGCTTAAAAATAGCTTGAAAATCTTTCGTTTTTAAGATCTAAAGTTCTTTTGAAGCTTGTTTTCAAGAAAAAAACTTTGATCTATCAAATGGTAACAAGAATCATTCTGTAAAGTTTAAGTTAACTTTCGAAAAATGTTCAGAACCAGGTGTAAAAAATTGTCACAAAAAAAAGTTGTTGAGAATTGAAATCTTTTTTTATGCAAAAAGCGGCATATTAGGGTAAAAAAATATCTGAATTTTTCGAATCCAGCGTTAATTTTCCGTCATTCACGTGTTTTTTAAGTCAAAAAATTACTGCTTGAAGTAAAAGAACTTTTGAGACACTCTGTAACTTTTGAATGAACAAGAACTTGAAGAACAAGAGCTTGAACAACAAGAGCTTGAACAACAAGAGCTTGAAGAACAAGGGCTTGAACAACAAGAACTTGAACAACAAGAACTTTTGAGAGACTTTAAGACACTCTGTTACCTTCTAGGTGATGAGTCTCGCGTGCATCTTCATTCGGAAGCATCGATATCGACCTCATGGTGGGGCAATTTGATTCAAATAATTGAGCTCTTTTTTTCATTAAACTTTAAGCCACTCTGCACTCAATTCAAATTCCAGTGATCCCCGAAGTGATGCCATCAGATTCATCAGATCCATGCACTTCGACATCTCTCCCGTCCATTCCCACTCCATCTCTCACTCTATCTCGATCGCTCGATGCTGGCAAAACCCTTCGCGGTTTTCTCTTTATGACAACGAAATCCGGCAAAGTGTTGTACATATCGGAGAATGCGAGCGAGTATCTTGGACATTCAGTGGTCAGCAATTTATATCGTTTTTTAAAAACTACATTTATTCAATATTGTACATATAGAATAATGTGACAGAGACAAATACAAGACTCAATTGCCTCTCTGCTACATCTTTAGGAGTGTTAGAGCAATTGGCAATTGAGTTGGCAATTGGCAACAAATCCAAAACTCTATTGCCAATTGCTCTAACACTCCTAAAGATGTTGTAGAGAGAAACGGGAAAAGATTCTAGCTCGAATTCTAGCTGGGATCGAAACCGTGATCTACCGAATAGCAAAAAAAAACCTAAGCACTCGGGCATGATGACATTTTAAATCTGTAAATTTTAGGAAGAGATTATGTGCCAAGGGGATTCTCTCTATGATATGGTCGATTGTCGAGATCATATGGCATTACAAAATCTTTTGGGAGCCGGTCCACCGGAGAAAGGTTTTGAAAATAAAAATTATAATTCTAGATTTAATCAAGAATAAAATTCAGAAAATTTCCCTGATGACAAGGTGTTTTTGTGTCGGATGAATTTAAGTCGAACCGCAAAACGACAACTACAATTTCATAAGGTATTAGCCAAAATTTGTATTCCTTCTGACAAATGAAACTAAACATTCCTGTGGAATGCTTAGTTTCATTAAACATTTCTCACTAAACCTTCCTGTGGAATGTTTAGTCATTTCATTCCTAAACACTAAACACCACTCATTATCACCATCTGTGGCGAATTGCCACTGCTCTGCAGTTAGACAAAATTCAATAAACAAGTTAAAATGCAAAGTTGATGGATAAACTACCGTAATCTGTTACCGTAATCGATAAACTAGACGATATTCCGTTGTCCGTTTGGCGTAGCTTGTGGACTTATCCCTGAAAAGTCCCTGGTGACAAGGTGTTCTTGTGTCGGATGAATTTAAGTCGAACCGCAAAACGACAACTCCAATTTCATAAGGTATTAGCCAAAATTTGTATTCCTTCTGACAAATGAAACTAAACATTCCTGTGGAATGCTTAGTTTCATTAAACATTTCTCACTAAACCTTCCTGTGGAATGTTTAGTCATTTCATTTCTAAACACTAAAAACCACTCATTATCACCATCTGTGGCGAATTGCCACTGCTCTGCAGCAGTCAAAATTCAAAGTTGATGGATAAACTACCGTAATCCTAGCCACTAGACGATATTCAGTTGTCCGTTTGTCGTTGCTTGTGTACTTAAAAAAACCCATTATTTAAGCTTTGTTTTGAGTCATTTGTGGGCTCCCTTTTCTATTCATCCTTTTTTTTTCACACGCAACTGTTGAAGTAATTGTGATAGTGCTCCAGTTTGAGCGAAGTTTGCCCTAATAAGGGAAAGTTTCGATAAATTTGTGCGCTTTCAAGAAATCTATTATTGGACCACACCGAGACACGGTCTCGCAAGAAATTATGATATCAAAGATCAAAGTAGAAATATATTTCTTACAATTCCTTTCATTTAGTTAACAATTCTCTTTCAGTTTGTTCTCTTTCACGGTCGCTACGTTCATTCGGCTGAGTACTATGCGGCGAACAATGCACCGAATAGTTGTATTCAGGTGAATATCAAAAAACAAATACCGTATTCTGACTTTTTGGTAGATTGAATACCTTTTAAGTATGATTATGGTATGATTTAGAAATGTTTTAGCCAATATTTTAGCCAATATTCGCCGCTTTTTGTCAACCATTGTTGAATCCGGAGAACGCGGAAATGTTGGCCACGGGGAACACGGACGCTTTCTCGAGTCAACACTTTCTTGATATGAAATTTAAAGATATGGATAATACGTGAGTAGATAAGGAATGAAAAGATTAAAATTGAAATTGAAAATCTCTAGATTCATCGAGCAACTTGGTTACACAAGATGTGAACTTTTGGATATTTCGTGGTACAATCTCATTCATCCAGAACACGTTGCCGATCTTGCATATAAACATCGATTATGTAAATGTTCTTTTGAAATCTTGATTTATATATTGATTTACTACTGGATACTGGATACTTGATATACACTACTGGACAATGAAATATCATATTCGAAAAAACTCTGCCGCACTTTCGCGCGTCTGTAACTCCCTTGTCTTTGCCGTATTTCTAAATACTAATATTACCATTGTGTAGCCATTAAAAAGAGCTTTCAAAGAATGTATAACACTAATAGTTTAAACTCAAAGACAATGGGGTTACAGACGCGCGAAAGTGACGATCGTTTTTCAAATATGATTTCAAATATTTCATTGTCCAGTACTGTATTTATATGCACAATTTCACAATTTCCATTTTCAGTAAGCGAAGAGAAAGAGGGATCCGTGTTGGCGCTGATGAAAATGCAGAAAAAGAACGGCGATTGGCTTTGGCTGCATTGTGTGATGTCTGTGAGGTTTGTTTAGTTGTGTTCTCGATTTGCATATTGATTTTCATATAAACAACCAACACGTTTTACGTTTATTTGTTTATTTTGAATTGTATAAATGCGACGAAAATCTCATTTAGATCGTCCGCCGGCTCAACAGAGGGAGACTCGAGGCGACAACGACACACCATCCACATGGCACACCAAATTGTTGGGTGCGTTTTTCTAGCTGATTCAGCTTTTTGGCTTTTCTTTTTCTTTTCAAATAACTTTTAACTTCTTTCCAGCTAATTGCAAAGTAGAAATTGGAGATTCGGTTAAGACAAAATATGCTTTTTTTTCAATTTATATTCTTTAGCTAGTTTTATTTTATTTATTTTATTTATTTTAATGTAAATTTGCAAGGGAAATGTGTAAATTGTCTAAAACAAGATATCGATCGAAGAAATTAAAAGAAGAACCATAACCATAGAACCATAACCATAATACCAAAATCCTAAAAGTTGCTCGAAAAGAAAGACAAAAAAGCTGTACTCCGGACCGAACTCTGACCCCCTGAACGGAAACCTATACCTTAACCATTAGGCCATCAACACACTTAGTGCCCACTAGAAAAGATGCTTTTTCAAGCATTCTTCTAAAGTCTCCCCTAAATTTTCGATGGAAATTTTACACACCTGGAAAGTCATTTGGGAAATTTTGATTTCAGCATCGGATTCCTCATATTTGATTCTATAAAGTGTCCAGACTATAAGCTGTTCTATAAGCTCACCCTGATTTCGTGTCTTTCCCCTAGTCAGAATTTTCGTATAAAATACTGAATCATGTATATTTTTGCTAAATTTCCAATAGCTTTATCTCAACTCTAAAGAAGTTGAACTGAACTTTTGTCGGAGGAAACGTTATGAAAAAAGAAACACCCATTTACTGGTGCATTCATATCTTGGTCAGTATCAATTTAAGAAATCAAGAAAACAGAGTACACTACTAGACACTAGACAAAGGGACACTGGACAAAGGTATACTAGACAAAGGTACACTAGACAAAGGCACACTAGGCAAAGACACTAGACAAAGGTACAATAGACAAAGACACACTAGACAAAGGTACACTAGACAAAGGTACACTAGACAAAGGTACACTAGACAAAGGTACACTAGACAAAGGTACACTAGACAAAGGTACACTAGACAAAGGGACAATAGACAAAGTGGTTTCAAACGGATGTTGTCAAGTAAAGTATTTGGTCTAGTTTAAAGGCAAGATTTTAGATTAAAACACTATATGTTTTGAATTCCTGTTTACATTTACAATTTCCATTGCTTTCAGTGAGAATGAGGCAATTGCCCTACAGGCAAACGGTTGGATCTACAGCATGAGACACAGCTATCCAACATCGTTCACAAATCAAGACTCTCCCGAGTCACTTCCCGCTGATCGACCCGCTAGTCCGACTTCCCCGTTTGCAACGGCACAGGTAAATCGATTGTCTTCATTGAAATTCAAAGCAATTTACTTCCAGCCTTTTGGCCTGACAATGCTCAAGCCAGAGCCTCCTTGTTATCCATTCCCTACTCACATTCCTCATCCCTCGCTCTTTGCCATCGATTGCTCACAGGTTTATTTGAGTTCTAAATGAAATCACTTAACATCTAGCCACCTTATGACCAGGTATGTTAACTCTGCTCCTTTTTTTGGTTCGTTTACCGTTGGCAATGCTCGTATCTTAGCTGGGTTTGTTTGAAAAACATTGTATTTACTTTCATTTGATTCGAAATCAGATTTTCTATCGAATGAAAGCAAATTCAACGCTTTTCAAACAAACCCGGATGAGATCCGAGCATTGCCAACGGCAAACGGACCGAAAAAGGAGCAGAGTTAACATGGCTTGCTAGTTAAAGGCTGCTAGTTAAAGGCTGCTAGTTAAAGGCTGCTAGTTAAAGGCTGCTAGTTAAAGGCTGCTAGTTAAAGGCTGCTAGTTAAAGGCTGCTAGTTAAAGGCTGCTAGTTAAAGGCTGCTAGTTAAAGGCTGCTAGTTAAAGGCTGCTAGTTAAAGGCTGCTAGTTAAAGGCTGCTAGTTAAAGGCTGCTAGTTAAAGGCTGCTAGTTAAAGGCTGCTAGTTAAAGGCTGCTAGTTAAAGGCTGCTAGTTAAAGGCTGCTAGTTAAAGGCTGCTAGTTAAAGTTTTTTTTCCAGATCAAAGTCGAAATCCCAATGAAGGGTGTGCCACCTCCACTGTGTCTGATCACTCCCGAACACTCATCGCCCGAGTCATCCTCTTCTTTTCCATCGCATTTCACCGACGTGAAACGGGATCTCGATTTGGATGCAAAGTTTGTAAATTTCAATATTGCTTTTCTCGTGGAATGAATCTCGATCAATTTGAGCGTTTCGCAAAAGCGTTTTCGAGCATCTCGAGCGTTTCGCAAAAGAAGTCATTAGTAAACGCGAAAATCAATGAGATTTTGCAATGAGAGCCTTCAATGAGAGCCCAATTACCTCTTTTTTTCGCATTTTTCCTTTTCAATAATCTATCAACACTTTTATTAAGTTGTGTTTTAGCAAAAACGTTCTTGATGGAGTATCTGATTTGATACGAGCCGTTGATCGAAATGCACTACCTGAGCTCCGGGATCTCGATGAGTTTTTCAAACAGGTAATGCGAAGAAATAGAGTTTTTAATTTATAAAGCACAAAAATTTCAGGAAGAGTATGCGACGAGTTCGTTGAGCTCTCAGGAATCGTCACCAAATGTCCGACATCCATTTCATTTCTCTCTACCAAATCCCACGACAATCATCGCTCCTACACACTTGCCATTAGCGGTTGGTTTCTTTATCAGCTTTGGGATCTATATGTAAACGAATCACATAATCACTTTGAATTGTTCAAATTGTTCGAATTTCTAGGAAATGATGACCCCAATGGGTGGTGCTCTTGGCCGTCTGCCAACATTAGATGGATCTTGTCTTCCCTTTGGTTATCCACCATTTTCATCGCCATTTCTCACCCCACAACCCCCACCAATCAATCCAACATTCTATAGTCGAAAACGAATCGGATCGTGGACGGGAATGATGTGAAGATCAATATTAAGTGTACCTAAATCTTGACTGATTTATCGATTACCGTATGTTCTCTAATAGTAATGTACCCTGAGCGTCGCCTAAATTACTCGAAATCTCGAGAACCACTTATCAGAACCTATCGATGTGGGGTCGGAAAATGTAGCTGACGATGAGATCTAGTGGGGATTTGAGTGTTGAGCTTCTGGGAAAAATTGGAAACTGTAAAATAGTCATCAACTCGGCTCATCGGGAAATAGATCAGTCTGATCTACTAGCCTAACCTGGAATAGTATACCGTCTTCTCTCTAATAGTAGTGTACCCTGAGCGTTGCCTAAATTTCTCGAAATCTCAAGAACCTCTTATCAGAACCTATCGATGTGGGGTCGGAAAATGTAGCTGACGATGAGATCTAGTGGGGGATTAGAGTGTTCAGCTTCTGTGAAAACTTTGAAACTGTAAAATAGTCATCAACTCGGCTCGCCGCGGTACACTACTAGAGAAAATACTACTATTAGAGAAAATACGGCACTTATCTCTATTTTGTACTCAACTAAACTCGATAAACTTGCATAAATTCAGTTTTCTTTTTCTTTCCCATCACTCTCAAAGTCACGAAAAGTCTTTCAATTGCACGTATCCTCCACTTTTCTTTTTGCTCTCATCAAATCACTGTGATATCTGTTGTAGAAGAAATTTTTGTCATTGTCATTCTACTTTGCAAGTCATTCTACATTCTACTGTCATTCTACTTTGTCAAGTCTTTCAAATGCATCTTTTAGTGGACCAGATTCCGTGCGTTTCCTCGCTCCGCCTAAAAAAGAAAACCATCTCGTGTAGCTTTACAGTATTATTTCCTTTTTTTCCTCCTCAAATTGTTGAATGTCGCATAACAATAGAAAAATTTATTTTTTTTTGACGTGAAAAAAGAAAGAAAACACGAAAAAGAGCCATTTTTTTTTTACACAAACGAAAGCCGAGATCAGAGAAAACGAAGAAAAATGTCAATATCGATCGCAAGAAAAAAAACGGGGAGATCAAAAAGGCATGATATGCATTTCTTTCTTTTTTTTTACTTCATCAAAACACAAAGAGTACGGTAATTTTTACAGATTTTAGAAAATAAATACATTCAAAACTATTCGGTTCACTATTCGCAATTCGCAAATTCGCAAATTCTATATCACAACCGATTTTGGGATTTTGGGATTTTGGGATTTTGGGATTTTGCAATTTCTGCTTTTTTCGCATATCCTATTTTAGAGCTAGCCTTTTTTTTGAAAAAATAAATTATTGTTCAAGAGTTCAAGATAAAGCAATATTGAGACAAAGTTTAGTGCAAAAGAGTGAGAGGGTTACGGTAGAGAAAGTCTTTTTTATTCTTTTTTTATCTTGCACTAACTTCGTTGAATAGGCGAGTTTTGTCGACATGGGAAAATCCCAAAACGAACCAAAATTTCACTCACAATTTTCTCGGCCGTCTCTTTGATTACTTCTGCAAAATTTTGTCTACAAGCAGAAAATCCCAATTTCTATTAGTAGACAAAATTTTAGAACGGCCCGAGAAACGGCTGAGAAAACAAAGGTGGAATTTGGTTCGGCTTGGAATTTTGCTCATGTCTGGGGTACGTTAATACGTAACTTATTTTCTCAATGCTTTCTTATTTTTCCTGATTTCCCTCTTCTCGGTACTCGCATGATAAACGCTTGTAGATTGGCGTCAATTTCTCAGCGAACAACGGTTGAAAATCCGACGAGATTTGCTTACACAAAGCGCCAAACTCCGTGTCGCCAAAACGCTGAACCCAAATTGATAATGTTTAATTGGAAAAAGATTCTTCTCTTTTTATTTCAAGCTCTTTAGCTAGCTCTTTGAAAGTTAGATCTGCTGTACTTTTCCAACTTCTTTTACTTACCTTAAGAAGTTTTGTTGAATACAATGGAGCCGACTCGATCAACGAGCAGATCTCTTCTTGGTCATAAACGACCAATTCAGGAGCTGATGGAAGGCAACTGAGCTGAAAAAAAAACAAATCACTTTCGATTATAATATTTATTTCACAAAATAGATGGAAGATTTTGATAGTAGAATTATATAAAGGAAACTAAAAGGCTCAAAAAAAAAATAAGATTGCTATGTTTCTAATGATTCTAAAATAAGATTGCTATGTCTCCAATGATTCTAAAATAAGATTGCTATGTTTCTAATGATTCTAAAATTTCAGACAAGTTTTCCAGGCAATACTCCTTAAAGTTACAACAACATTTGGCTCTGATTTTCTCTGATTTTCTTTTCTCTCAAACCTTTTTCCTCAATTGAGACGTTCTCTCTCGTGCTTTCTCCAAAAGCAAACTGGTCGCCAAGAAACAACTTGTCTCCGCGTTTTGGCATTCGTCCGGTTCTATCGTCTTGATCAAAATAGGCTGAAATTGTTTTTGGTTTGAAATTTGAAAAATTTGAACACTGTATCACTGTATAATCCTTTTTTAAAAAAAAGGCCTACCATTGTCTTATACAAGTTCAATAGATCACTGCAAACGAGATGCCGTGTCGGCGATCCTCGACACGAATCGATCATCAATAAGGCCAAAACCATCGATGAAAGCCATAAAAGACCCATATTTGATTTGAATTTGCGAGCTTCTGAAAGGAAATCGATGAAATGAAACAATGAAATGACTTTTTGAAATGCAGAAATTCAAACAAATAAAACAAAAAGACTTCCAGGCTAGAGACAACGATCCAATGTCCATTACCAAGATTAGAAAATGGAGAGCAAACTTGAGAAATTTATCAAAGAAAGATAGATTATCAGGAAAAAGACTCTAGCTAAAGATAGGAAGGGGAAAGATTGGAAACAGAGTAGAAGAAAATGAAGAAACTTTGATGAAAAAACAAGTATCGAAAGCTTTGAATTGCGGTTGAAATGATAAATTTTAATGTTTACGTTTATTGCGCGACTTTTGGTACACGATTTTTACGAATAAACGATAAAAACCCAAACTATTTGCGGTCATTTGCGCAACTGGGTCATTTGCGCAACTGGGTTGTTTGCGCAACTCGCCTTAACTTTCTTCTAAGTGGGCCAATCTTTATGAGTTTGGTTTCATTTTGTAGATCTCAATAAGTGCAACAAAATGAAACCAAAATCATAAAGATTGGCCCACTTAGAAGAAAGTTATGGCGAGTTGTGCAAACAACCCAGTTGCGCAAAAATGCAAGTTGCCCCTTCCGGCTGTACCAAAAGAATTTCCAATCGGAAACTGTAAAAAGTCGTGATTCCTTTGGCAAATCATGTGGTTTCTTTTCTGCTGAGATCAGATCAAAAATCAAAAGCATTTTGAGGCGATAATTAGATTAAAAAAACTGGGAAAAAGGTATCCTATGTGGCGAGAGAAGATTCTGATGAAAGATACGAGGTACAAGAATTTGGTCTTTTAGATCTTATCGAGCTTTTTAGCTTCAAGATCTTCAAGATCTTCAAGATTTTTAGCTTCAAGAGCTTCAAGAGCTTTTAAATCTGAATGATGTTTAGATAGACAATGGCATAGTTTTCCTTGTTTAATTTTCAATACACTTTTTAATCTCAAAACCCTCAAAGCTTCAACTCCACCTTGGCATTCCATAACTGTTTCGGTTTTGGTCAAAATCTTAGCATTGTTGCCTCTTTATTGTACCATTTACAGAATCGAGTTAGATTCTCTTACTATGCCAAAGCACTAACGTTTCCCCAAACCATCAAATTCCAAGAGAACGCACAAAGTCCCAATGATACAAGACAGAAAGCCGATCAAATTTGATAAAGTGATTATGGTCAAAAGAAAAAAAAATTCCCCGAACCTCTTTTACTATTATACGGGGTAAATGGATAGGTTTTTTTTCATTTTTTCACGTTAAGCTCTTCAGCTTAAGGATCTTTGAAAGCAAGCGGGGGTGAAGGAGCTTATTGGAGATATTGGAGAAGAGGAATTCAAACTGATAACTGCTGAAATCGGGAAAAGTGATCAGTGCTCTGGCACATGAAAAACACTTGCCTACTCGAATTGTTGGATTCATGGAAAGCTGAATGTCAAAATTTCGCATTTCACTTAAAATGCTGACGTAATTTCGAGTATCTCACGTAAAACACTGATGTCTTGCAAATCAGCTGCTGCAAGCTATGTGAATCTAACTAAAGCTTATAGCTTAACGTCTTTCGTGTGCACTTTGTGCTCAGAAATGTGCTCAGAAATCGAAAAACACCCCATCTGGCGCCGGAAATTCGTTGCCTTTGAAGCAAAGTACACCAGAAAGGATGCGTTTCAATTTGTTGAACACAAACTCGATCCCAAGATACAACTTTTATATTGTATAAAACTTTGACCCGAAGGTGAGTGTCAGGGCAAAGTCGAAACTCGATTTGCACCTATCATTTCTGTGATTGAGTTTTAAAAAAATATTGATATGGTTAGGGAAACAGTGGTGTGATTATCGGTCAATGTTTCTCTTTATTAACTCGTTTTCTAAAAGATGCGTTTAGAAAGAGAGCTACTGCAGCTACAGCTAAAGAGAGCTACTGCAGCTACAGCTAAAGAGAGCTACTGCAGCTACAGCTAAAGAGAGCTACTGCAGCTACAGCTAAAGAGAGCTACTGCAGCTACAGCTAAAGAGAGCTACTGCAGCTACAGCTAAAGAGAGCTACTGCAGCTACAGCTAAAGAGAGCTACTGCAGCTACAGCTAAAGAGAACTACTGCAGCTACAGCTAAAGAGAGCTACTGCAGCTACAGCTAAAGAGAGCTACTGCGGCCTCACTCTAATAGTGTTCATTTACTCATAAAACCTAAAAAAAGTTATAATCTTGTAAAGAAATTCAATTTAAAACTTAAAGCTTGACAATTCTCATTTGTGCAACTCTAAATCCATCCTAACTGGCCGTAAAATGACGAAAAAACGTTTTCCTTTGGATTTGATGAGCGGTGAAAACCTACTCCCCAATCCACGTGGTCAATCAAAGATATTTTTGTTATAAATATCCATGTGGCTTCAGAAAATAAAGAAAAGAAAAGAAAAAAAGCTAATAATAAGCCGATGGCGCGTCAATTGAAACGTCATAAAATGGGTATTTTCCCGTAAAATCTTTGGGCCCCGTAAACGGATGGCTTCCCCAATCTGGAATCCCAAAAATATCGGTGAAAATAACTTTGAGTAAGTTAAAAGCTTTCGGATAACTTGACAAGATTTAACTACTATCTAAGAATTGATTAAAGTTTGATCAGCTAAGCACTCAAAAACTCTTGATTCAAGATGCTGTCTCTGCTCCCGTAACCCGGAAAAAGATAATTCCTATCCAAGACAGGATTAGGTTCGATTTCTGGCCTGGTTCAATTAGCCTGGCTTTGCTTCGAGTTTCTAGCCCAGGCTAAACCACAAAAAGTCTCTGAACCTTGCTTTTGTCCGGACTCTAGCTAGCTTGCAGGTTCTACTGGAATATCTATCTCTGCGAATAAAACAAAAAAACTGATTGAGATTTTTAGTAGTATGATGGTAGAATAGTTTATATGTTACGTCCGAATCTGAGGAGACGTCCATCTCCGATCCGGACGTCCGAATCTGAGGAGATTCATTCTCCTCCAAAACGGACGTCCATCTCTGAGTCGGACGTCCGTTTCAGAGGAGAATGAATCTCCTCAGATTCGGACGTCCATCCGGGTCGGACGTCCGTTCGGGAGAATGAATCTCCTCAGATTCGGACTCCATCTCTGGTCGGTCCTTTCAGGGAGATGATCTCCTGATTCGGACGTCCATCTCTGAGTCGGACGTCCGTTTCAGAGGAGAATGAATCTCCTCAGATTCGGACGTCCATCTCTGAGTCGGACGTCTTCTCAGATTCGGACGTAACATATACAAGGACAAAGAAAACTAAAAGGAAACTAAAAAAATTACGGACACTCTCGAGGAAACGCTTCAAGAGTCGTGTATAATTTTTGACAAACTCGGCAACGCCCTCTCTCCAGTAACCCGGAAAAATCGTGACTTAACATGTTGTGTATTTCTAATGAGAGTTTTATTTTTCCACCTTTTTTCACCATTTCTCTTTTCTTGATTAGGCAAAGTGTGTAACTACGTAAACCGAAAATTTTCTTTCTTAATTTTCCCTGGGAACACTTCCCAAGGGACAAAGAATACGGAGAATACGATTTTTTTTTTCACAATTTCTTTTTTCAAGTAATTTTTGTTATATCTTGTTGACTCAGATTTGAAAAATGCGTACAAAATTGATCGTGAGAATGCGTGAGTGAAGAACTTGAATTTCCAAGCAACTTGATTATCCAAGCCAATACGGTGATGACAAAACTCTTTTTTTTTTTGAGAACTCTTAATTGAGAGTACAAAGATTTGAAGTACAGCAGAAATGATAAGATTGTAGTGGAAGAATAAAGATGAAATGGAGAATTTTGAAGGGTACAAGACAGAATGTGATCACTTAGTGAATCTTTGTACTTGGAGAAGACACGTGATTGACCTATTGGTCAATCACGTGTCTTCTCCAAGTACTAAGCAGGGTTCAGAAAGATTGGAATAGACTGCCCGAAAAGTTCCCAGACTGTTACTGATCTCAATCAATCTCAATGATCTCAATGTCGAACAGAAGTTGGACTAAAAACGGGAATTCTAATAGAATTTACATGTCGAATTGCTAGGAAAGCTTATAGTTCAGATGCTGATAATGCGCCTTATAACAAGATGGTAAAAAAAACAATAGACTATCACCTCCGAAGTCTTCAAAATGGCTAAGAAGACAGAGTTCAAGATCTTGTCCAAGTACAAGAATCCATTCAAGACGTTGTGGTGATTAAAAACGTGCAACACATTTAGATTAGTCATGTAAATGTGCGCTAATGTCAAAGTCAACCCAGTTAAGCCATCAAGCAGATCTTGGATCACAAAATGTACATTTCAGTATCCCCTAGTAACAAAGTGAAATATGGGAAACTTGAAAGTTCAACAAACTTACAAAATTCGAAGAAGAGTGAAAATGAACTCAACAATAAAAGAACTGAAGAGCTGAAGTAAAAATGAAGATGCTCTTCTTTAAGAAGAGTTGAAGTAAAAATGAAGAAGCTCTCCGTTAAGAAGCTCTCCTTTAAGAAGAGCTGAAGTAAAAATTTTAAATCCCAGATGGCCAAAATGAGCCCAAAACGCTCATCTCTCCTTTTGCACCTTGCTTTTGAGCTCTCTTTTTTAGTGGTTTTATTGGTGTTTATTGATTTATCAATCATTTATCAGATGAAAGATGAAGCCTTTGTACCATCCGAACACCTCTGGAACACAAATTCACAGCTCAATATCTTCTTTTTTTATCATCTACAAATCACTATGCAAATGAAGGTGTTCTTTGTGTACGCGCACAATCGCTCGCCGTCTGGCAAACGCCCCTGGGTTAAGTTTTTTTAGTTTCCATTTAGTTTGTTAGTTTTTTTTTAGTTTTTCTTTTTTAGTTTCCTTGTTTCCCTTTTGGAGTGGTTAATGGACGAGCGAACTACTCCGTATTCGGCTCGAATCTGTCCACAATCTTGAGATCAATTTTTCCCTTTAATTTGGCTTTATTTTTAGAG